CTCTGCTCTCCCCTGGCCACACACATGCATTGGGGAAAATGCAAACAGGCAACAAGCTTTTCCCCCCTGCTTCCACCCACTTTTCCACCCTTTTCGCTCTGCCCAGCAGGACCCCACACTCGACCCCTGTTGTTGTGTTGTGTTGTTTTTGGTAAACAGCTTGCATGTTGGGCACCTGAGAATGGTTGCCAAAAATAAAAACACCAAACGGAAAGCAGAAAATGAGAATGGAAATGAAAAACGAGAAGCTAAAGCCTCGAGTTGGGGCTATAAACAACAACTGAATGCTCTAAGTTGTACTTGAATTATTTCAAATATAAAATATATTATGTATATAATATATATTACGTATACGTAATATTATATATGTCAAGTATATTACGTATACGTAAAAGATCTCTTGGAGCAGGTATGGCCAATCTGAGCACTTTAAGGCTCTTCCTTTAACACTGCTTACTTTAGACTGCTTGCTTTTATTTTCCTTAATGTTAACTGCTTGCTAGAAGGACACCTGAGATTAAAGACATTTCTGTTGTAGATTTTCTTACATTTATTTATTGAAACTTACTAAACTATATATATCGCATCAGATACCCTTAGTTAGTGTATCAAAAGCAGCAAATCACGAAAGCAGATCTGAGCCCAGAACCCAGCAAAACTCACACAAATTGTGCACGCAACTGGCCAAGGTCATACAGGGCAGTTGTTCGGTTAGTTCAACTATCCGTCCGTGAGTCCTTCAGGCAAAAGGATTTGCATAATTCGACTCTGCGGCGGCCATGATTCCCGATCCCCCCGCAACCCCGCAGCCCCGCATCCCGTCAAGCGATTGATGGCCCCCGGATCCGGATCCGGCATCAAAGTAGAGAGTCCGGGTGCAATTCCAAAGCAGCCGCAAGGCAAATCCAAGAAGAAAATTCCTTTTCCAGGGAATGCCACAAAATCCAATACTTGATAATTGCAATTGAAATCAATATTGGGTTGGAATTTGTTTAGGAAATTTATGTATTTCTGTAAAGAAATATATGCAAAACATGTGTTTATATATAACAAATAGATTAGGGATATATATTGAATTGTATACTGATATGTTAAAGGTGTGTCCTTAAAATGTTTGTAGGGAAAACAAATAACTAGGAATGTTACTTGGATATTTCTGCATACCTGAGTATATAAATATTATGAATTTATTATTTATTTATATAAAGCTAACAAATGGTTATAAACTAAACGTTAACTTATTAGTTAAAAGCATTACCTTGGTTTTTATGTTATATTTTTTCTTCCAGTGCACCTACACTTGTATTTATTCATTCATTCATATTCACATTCACATTCCCAACGTTTGTCAGTCGAATGTCGTTTGTGACGTCAGCATTGAATCGAGTTTTGCATTCACCTCGCCAATGCCGGCGGCGCCTTTCGTTGGTTCGTTTGATGGCGGCGTTGATTGAATCATGTTAACAGGCTCTCCCTCTCTGAAACACCCGAACCACCTTAAACCCCCTGCCTGGACCCACTCAAACCCCACTCAAACCGTCTGAACCCACTCAAACCCACTGAACCCCTTCCCCACCCACTGCGGCTCTTGTGGAAAACGCTTGCAAATCAGCTTTATCAATGCTGTTTTGGCAAAAGGGAATGCCATTGGGCCTGGAAATGGGTTTCAAAGTAACGCGGAGAATGATCTGAGATTTGTGGGAACATTTTAAAATTTAAATTATATTCTATAGAATGCCTCATAAAGGGGTAAATAAGTATTGTTTAAACTAAACTTAAGTTAATTTATTAAACATTACATTGGTACAAATAATGTACAGATTTTTATTATTATTATTATTATTTATAACTCAGCGCCTTTCTCTGCGCTTCTCAATCGATGCAGCTAAGGGTCGAAAGTAGTGATATATTAAGAATTAATTTTTCAGTATACAGTATTATTTTTTGGTATATTTTTGCAAAATTGCATATTTCCAAGCGCCCTTCTCGGCGCTTCTCAATCCACCCAGCTAAGAGTCAATAGGAGGTCTGAAGTTTTCATTTGTTTTGGTATTTTTTTTAGTATTTTTATTTTATATTGTGTTTATTATCTGGTTTCCTCATGTCATACATAGTATTTTCATCTTATATCATAAATAATTATATATTAATTATCCTCCGCGCTTCTCAACTCTCTCCAGTTGCCTGATTAACTTACAGATGTTGTGACCCAGCTAGGGGGAAGTTCGACATACAAAAATTGAGGATGGGTGACTCTCTCTCTCTCTCTGTGACTGGTGTGGCAAGTGCACTCCCTCAGTTCAAGGCTGTGTGTGCGTTTTGCATGCCTTAAATTTCCTTTGCCATCTCACATTAATTCATAAATTTCAGCATGCCGTTGTTGACGCTGCTAAAAATAGACCAAAAACGAGAGAGGGGTGAGACTGCGACTGCGACTGAGGTTGACTGTGGCTGAGGCTGATGTTGCCTTGACCGGCACATACACACACACACACACACACTCACACACAACACTAGTCATAGACTATGGACTCTCCACATGTCAGAGACTCTTTGGTTACTCACACACACACATGGAAGACGAAGTTCCACTTCGATTTGCCGACTTTGCATTGAACTTCAACCAGTCGCCGTTGCCATTTCCGTTTCCGTTTCTGTTTCGGTTTCCGTTTTGGTTTCTTTCTTTGGCTTTACTGACAGAAAGCCAAGGTTTCGGATTTCGACTCTGGCTTCACTAGAGACTTATGCAATCCACCTGAAAATGCGGAAGTGGATGAGACTCACTTTATATATATATATATATATATATATATGTATAAATAATGTATATATATATACTCGCATCCTGTAAATAGGTCGCTGCAGCAGAGTCAGCGATTCATCGACATCGTCGGCATCTAGAATGGAGGCGACAATGACGTCACTCGCCGCATCAGGCCGTGCCGCTGACCTATATATACACACACACACACACACACATGCAGACACACGCCGCAGCGCCGCATCACCGCAGGCCGTTGCAAGTGCAACAGAGATGGATATAACATAAATTCCACACTGACATTTACATATAGCGTATAAAAACAACAACAACAAATTGTTGTACATGACAAAGGGGAATATGCAGATGTAAAGAGTGAGAGAAGAGAGAGGACAGAGAATATAGAAGACAGAGAAACAGAGAAGAGGCGAGAGAGAGAGAGAAGGATAGGCTAGTAATGCACCTGGGCAAACACTGTTTGTTGACATTTAGTTGGGAGTTCTGTCTCACTCTCTTTCTCTCTCTCTATCTCTATCTTACTTGGCCGGCCTTTTGCGAGGTCCTTCTGACGTCACAGCCTGGGAAAACAATAACCTTTCAGTTGATTTAAATTATTAATGAATCAAGTTGTTCTCATTTTAATCTATACTTTATACTTTATTATTCCATAATAAAAGAAATCAAACTAAATTCAATAGAATTTAATAAAAATCCAGCTAGAAGTGAGAGTAAATTTCTATAGTTAGCAGTTAGAATTCTTCAAGAAATCAGGATCTTACTAATTTTTAACTAAAATCATATACATTTTCACTCAAAAGGAAGACTATATCTTTATAAATCCCTTCAAGAAGTAGTTCTGCTTGCCCCACGCAAAAGAAGACATTTTCAATTACCATATTTTATGTTGGCTATACATAACTCTTTTGTAATTCAATTTATAAGTACTATGTTATTATATATATAAATATATATAGTACGAAGCAAGATGGAGTAGCAGCCCGGAAAAGATTTATGCCGACAAACAATTTGTCCGAACAGGCACTGGCCATTATTGCAGCTGAAATGTCTGAATGGGGCGCCCGAACGATGGAGAGATGATGCAGATGGTGGCATGGTGGCATAATGGCAGCAACGATGGCTGCCAGGGGATGTGGGCAGTGCACTTACACGCTTAATTAAATGCCACGGCACGGCGCCAAAAAGCAGGCAACCTGCCATGCAACAACGCCTCGAATATCGCATCCAAAAAATTGCTAGCAACAGCAACAGCAACGGCAGCAGCAGCAACAACAGCAACAGCAGCAGCAATGCCTGGCAGCAACAATTGCACATTGTCAGCAACATCAGCGATAAGGGCGGAAAATGTTGGGCACGCTGCCAGCTGGGATTCTCCCCTCTGCTTCCAAAGGGGGAGAGTCCTTCCCCAACTTGGGTCACTCAGCAGGAGGGGCAAAGAGGCAAACAGCAGCAAAGGGCTTTTCGGGTTGCAGTCCGTTTTTTTATGCGATTGTAATACAATTTCAATTACAAGTGTAAACATAAGTATATTTGCCAGTATGTGGGCGTTTTGCAATGAATTTAATTTGAGGCAAGGCAAGGCAAGGCCTAAGCTCAAAGGATAAAGGATACCATGTAACCCATACAGCAATTGCGAATTGCAATTTGAGAATTCAAGAAAGTCGAGAAAGTGAGACCTGAATATCCCCACAATATGCAATATGCAATATGCATGGATTTGCCATTGAATATTCAATGGCTGACGAGCATCTGGAAATTGATTCGAGTCGAGCAAAAGTAATTAAAGACCAAACCACTGGAGAGCTTAAAGATCGAATTCATTGAATAATTGAGTAGCTGTCGATGTGATTTTCAGTTAAAAGAATGTAAATCAAAAGGAAGTTAAGTACTAAGACAGGTCTAATAGAGTCAGGGTTTAAGTAATAGATTTTTAATTGAGTAGACAGGACTTTAGTTTAACTCTGTTACTAATGTTCTATATATTAAATACTTTATATCATTTACTATATACTATTGACTTTCTCTATATCTGAGTTTTGTTTTGAGAATGTTAACTCTAAGACTAAGCTAAGCTATTATACCTTATTTATAACCCAAACTATACTGAAAAAAGGGTTTTATTGATTGTATTATATTATTAAATTAATATTATTATTAATATTAATACCATAATCTCTTTAATACCAATCCTTATACATTTTCAACCTTTTTTCCTTGACAGGTCTTTGCCCAAATTGAGCAGTCAAGACGAAGAAGGGGGGCTGGTCATGGCTTTGGTGGCGGACCGCAACACTTTGAACCCATTCCTCACGATCATGATTTCTGCGAAAGAGTCGTTATAAATGTGAGTATATCCCCTAAAATTTAGCTATAGATTTCTATACACATTTATTAATCCGAAAATCTTAATAGGTAAGCGGACTAAGGTTTGAGACCCAACTACGTACGCTAAATCAATTCCCGGACACGCTGCTTGGGGATCCAGCTCGGAGATTACGGTACTTTGACCCGCTTAGAAATGAATATTTTTTTGACCGTAGTCGACCGAGCTTCGATGCGATTTTATACTATTATCAGAGTGGTACGTATCCTTTAAAAGTCATTGTCCCTTTGTGTTTACCTCTGAATGTGTGCGGCCTAATGCTAATATCTCTCTATTTCTCTTTATCCTCGTTCTCGCCAAAAACAACAAAACAATGAAAACCTTCAACAACACCACAATCACCAACAACAACAACATCAAAAACACCAACAACAACACCCCTGGTTCATTCAACACACCCATATTATTCATCCACAGGTGGCCGACTACGGAGACCGGTCAATGTCCCTTTAGACGTATTTAGTGAAGAAATAAAATTTTATGAATTAGGTGATCAAGCAATTAATAAATTCAGGTAAGCCCATGTGTTGCCCACTACAAATTTCACTAACACTAATCCCAAAACAAAAACGACAAAAAAAACCAAAAACAAAAATATATAAACTAAAGTCCAAAAAAGAAAACCCTCAAAAACCAAACCAAAAATAAACAAACAAAAACCATAACAAATCGAATGCAAAAAAAAAGGAAACAAACAAAGAGAGTACAACAAATTGGTTCGGTTTGTTCTATATTGGTAGCACGGCAAATTTATTGAATCAGTGTAATGAGGCATGCAACACGGCAAAACAGACCAACGCACGCATCCAGACATAGAAAATAGACATAGATCTAGACTTGGCCCACAAAATAAACACATTGCGTTGGCTGGAAATGCGAGTAAAAGGGAAAGTTTTTCCTTGGTACAAATAATTTACAGATTTGTTAATACATTTTAATTTAGAATGTATTATTTATAACTCAGTGCTTTTCTCTGCGCTTCTCAATCGATCCAGCTAAGGGTGGAAAGTAATCGAATATATAAAATGGTATATTAAATACTAATTTTTCAGTATATAGAATTATATTTTAGTATATTTTTGCAAAATGTCATATTTCGAAGCGCCCTCCTCTGCGCTTCTCAATCCACCCAGCTAAGAGTCAATGGGAGGTCTGGAGTTTTCATATTTTTTTGGTATTTTTCTTTAGTATTTTTATTTTTATATTGTATTTATATCTGGTGTCCCATATAATATATAGTATTACAATATTCTAAAATTATATTTTGAATCATAAATTATTATATATTAATTAATATAAAAGTTAAACAGTTCGTATCTCCAATGCAAGTAAAAGGGAAAGTTACCTCTTTTATGGTTACAGTAAATCTTTTTGATTAGAGAACTTTGTAAGAATTAATGTAATAATATGAACAAACAAATAATGCATAAAAACCTCAAGCTCTTGAATATTACAAAATATAAAGTAAAAAGCAATGAAACTTACTTCGGAGAGCTGACGTGTATACATATATACCTTTGCCGTTTGCAATTCTATTATAGGATAAAATATATTATTGTTATTTTTTTATGACATTTTTTCGACAAATCGGAGTTTTAAAAAACTCGTAATTAAGCCAAAAATATATTAATTTCAATTCGGAAAGCTTTCCTATGTTAGTTTTTTGTAGGTTAATAAATCTACACACATTAATTTAAAATTGAAAAAATTAAATTTTTTATTAAAATTTAAACGATGTGACCCCTTATAAAATTTTGAAAAAATTGGAATATTTTATTTTTCAGTCGGAGATGGCTAGATCGACTCAGGTTTTTATGCTGATCAGGAATCTATATGATTTATGGGGTCGGAAATGACTTCTTCACTGCGTTTCAAGCTTCTGACTAAAATTATAATACCCTGCAAGGGGATAAATATAGTTTGCATTTTAGACACTATTAAATACTACTCTTGAACTGTTCAATATAACACCTAACATTAAATAAATTATACAAAAAAAACCTTCTACACATCACATATACCCATAAATTATAATGGTGATGCTTGTGTAAATTTCCCCTGCTTTGTTTTCCATAGTTTTTCCATAAACAACAGCATTTCCAGCCACAGCAAAGTAGTAGAACATTTAGAACCAAAAAACTATATAGAAACTGCGACTGGACGGAAGTTAAGTTAATGAAAGCAAGTGAATGTTAATCACTTGACCACCAGCTTAAAATTTTGTTGATACGACGCGGGGGGCAGTGTGGCCGGGACCGTGGAGCAAAATGATGAGCCCGTGATGATGTAGGAGGAGGCCCGGCGAAGGCAGTACCAAGTCCGGTTCGAACAGGAAAGGATCCTTCAGCGAAATAAGCAGTCAACGTATTCCTTTTTACAACTTCCAGACACTTTGCTTAGCTTAGCGAAGAATAATTATTGCATTTTGTTTGTTAGTCAAAGCGTCGCTTTGTTATTCTTTTTTTTCACTTTGCTTGGCTTTCAGTTAGAGCTTCTTGCCTTGCTTTCGATTAGACAGCGAACCAATAATAAATCCAACTAAAGAAAAAGAAAACTAAAAACAGGCAAACACTCACAACACCAAGACTCACCAAAAACACACACAATTTATGAAATATACATATATAATCAAGAAGAAATATATGAAATAGAATCCTTTTGAACATCTCCTAATATATAACTATTATTTGCTTTATTTTGCAGAGAGGATGAAGGCTTTATTAAAGAGGAAGAAAGACCATTACCGGATAATGAGAAGCAAAGAAAAGTCTGGCTGCTCTTCGAGTATCCAGAGAGTTCGCAAGCCGCCAGAGTTGTAGCCATAATTAGTGTATTTGTTATATTGCTATCAATTGTTATATTTTGTCTAGAAACATTACCCGAATTTAAGCATTACAAGGTGCGTACGAGTCCAGCTAAATGATCAAGCCAAAAAGGATACATATCTCTTTATATTTCTATCTTTGGCATCTTTTGTTCATATTTTGCAGGTGTTCAATACAACAACAAATGGCACAAAAATCGAGGAAGACGAGGTGCCTGACATCACAGATCCTTTCTTCCTTATAGAAACGTTATGTATTATTTGGTTTACATTTGAACTAACTGTCAGGTATGCCAAGCACTTTCATATCCAAAGCTATATATGCGTACACCTAGTCATAAGCTAAGCGAACGAAAGAGAAATATTAGTTTTGAACTCGATCCGATTATTCGAATACAATATCTCTCTATCTCCATCTGATGAAGCTATTTCTCTTATAACAATTTACTTTGTCTTATCATTTATAATTGATTTAATTACATTGAAAATTATCTTTTACTTTTTATAGCCTTGCAGGGGTTAAGTCTTATTGTTTTTGTGAGATTTTCAATCTTATAAACTATATAAATTCTTGATCAGTTGAGCTTATTAAGCCATAGTTTCTTTGTCCGTTCTAACTTGGGGAGCTCCTAGTGGTTTTCAAAGAAAACATTGACCAATTTAAAGAAAATATAATAAATAATAACATATATATATTTTAAGGGATATAGCCAATGTCTGATTATCGTAGAAAGTATTGGATAATTAAAGATCTGATAGTATAAGTTTTAAAAAAAACTATTATTTTGTGGGTCAAACTGCAAGGGTATATAAACATCGGCTTTCCGAAGTTTATCTTTTGTTTTAATTACAAATTTAATTATTTATGTTATTTTTATATATTTATCAATTTTCTCATATTTTTTTATTTCTCTGTCTATTTTGCTTTGCCTTTGGTTTTTTCTCATATTCATGATTTAATTCAATTTGAATTCAAACCCAAAATATCGTTTTTTTTTCTCTCTCTCTCTCTCTTTCTCTCTCTCCACTCTCACTATCTCTCTCTCTCTATCTCTCTCTGACATCTCTCGTTCTATCTCGCTCTCGGTTTCTGTATCGCGCTGTCTGTGTGAATCTTTAAACCAAACCAATCGCTGGTCGTTGTATCGATTTTGTGTGTGTTCAGGTTCCTCGCATGTCCGAACAAATTAAATTTCTGCAGGGATGTCATGAATGTTATCGACATAATCGCCATCATTCCGTACTTTATAACACTAGCGACTGTCGTTGCCGAAGAGGAGGATACGTTAAATCTTCCAAAAGCGCCAGTCAGTCCACAGGTATGAGATTTCTGTTTGCCCAATACAAACCACCACCAACAAGACACACACACACATATATATATATCGATAAATAACACCCACACCCACACACACACATATGCATATACAGTTGAAACAATTAAAGAATTTAAGTGTTGCCATCATCATTTATGAGTTGCCTGACATGCTACAAAAGGGGTTGCCTGCTTGCCCCAAAAAATAAATTACAAACGAACATAACTTTGAGTTCAAATTTTTAATTTGATTCAATCCTTGATATACAATCAACCCGATCCTAATTCAGTTTTGTTATCGATAACACACATTGTTGTATATTACCGATTACTAACTAAACTACAAGCCAAAACATCCGCTTAATCACCTTCTATATACACATTGCATCGCAGCTATGTAAATGAACATCCATCCATATATATATAAATATATATATATATATAAACTATACACACCCAAAAAAAAATCAAAATAAAAAACATATATATATATTGCATTGCCCCACATATAATATATATATATATATATATTTCGATAAAATTTTTAGGACAAGTCATCGAATCAGGCTATGTCCTTGGCAATATTACGAGTGATACGATTAGTTCGAGTATTTCGAATATTTAAGTTATCTAGGCATTCGAAGGGTTTACAAATATTAGGACGAACTCTGAAAGCCTCAATGCGGGAATTAGGTTTACTTATATTTTTCTTATTTATAGGTAAGTTCCAAACAGTCTACATAAAAAGAAAATACACATACTACATTACTTATCAATTTACGATAATTATTCAAAACCAAAAAAACCAAAAAACAAAAGAGAAATACTGCAAAACGACTGCGACCATCTCCAGACAGACTTACTCCAACACCCAATAACTCTACCCCCGTCTCTCTCTTAATAACTTCTCTCTCAAGTACTATATATATCTCAATCGATCGCGAATTAAAACAACCACAAAAGATACATATAAATATATATATCTCTCTATATCTATGCTTACGTCTGTCTCAAGCCAGCACATTTATGTTAACAAGCTCATCACGAAAAAACCAAAATCAAAATCAAACCCTACTTACACTCCTCATCGGCAAAATAAACTATACTCTATATAATATATAAATATATATTTTAAACAAAACAGAAGATCGCGCCACAGACAACAACAACAAACAGGCACAAAAGAAACTACAAAAAAAAAGAAAATACCCGAAAGGTGTAATGCTTTTTAAGAACTTTTCATTTCCGAATTTGATTTGCCAACCACACACACACACACACACACACGCCAGACTTAGGACTAAGCTATATATACATAACAGATACCAAGGATACTAGTATCCTTATATAGATAGATACCCCTGTGTCCCCACGCCAAGTCCTTTGACCAACTCCTTTCAACGAAAACATATGAAAGATACTAAACAACAGCAAACAGCTCCAATAGAGATAAGACCTTAAAAAACAAAACAAAACAAAAATACATCAAGCTAAACTAAAGTTAACTAAAGTAACGTAAACTAGTTCTTACTATATTTAGTCATACACAACAAGCACACACATACACACACTTATCTGCCACAAATACAAGCTAAATAAATTAGAGGGGCCTGTGACTCGTAGAGCGTGTATTATCCGTAATTACTCTAGGTGTACTCGTATAACTCTCCACCCATTACGTATCTCTTACTTAATTAGTGTCGTCTAATCCTAGAGCTAAGTAGGTACGAGCTATATTCTCTGCTATTTGGAGCAGCGATCTGATCCTGATCCAGATCTCCCGATCATCCCGATCATCCTGATTATTATTCCGGTCTCCCTTTTAAATCCCAAAAGAAGCTCTATAAGTATCATTCACTTTGGATACGTTCGTTGAGTTCCTCTTCATTTGCGTTTTGTATTACGAATATTGAATTTGAATTTGAGTTTTGTTTTGGCTAGCTTATTTTTGGATAACCCCACCAGCAGCAAAAATGTCTCTCTCAGTGTACTCGAATTTTAGTCTATTACTCCTGATATACTCTGACAAAGTGCAAACAAAAACGGATGTGCTGTGGAGATGATGTGCTATAGAGTAAATCGTTTCAATTAGAGATTCTCCCAGCCGCCGTGCTCAAGTCGTTGCCAATTTTAAGGTCCTCATGCAGGTTTGTGTGTAGACCTAACTCTCTCTTTTGTTTTCTAACAGTGTATTTAGCCTTCTTTACAATTAACCTTTATCCCGGTCCTTGTCCCTATCCTTGAACTCCTTGGTGTGCCCAAAATGTGTGATAAATGCCTTAAAATTGGCAAACTTCTTGGCATACTTGTTGTCCTACCAATGATAAATACAAATATAAACAAAATACATAGCAACTAGAAATGGTGATTGATAATATATATTTTCCAAACCCTATATATATATACATACAGAAAAAAGATCAAGCGAACAAAGTGACAACCATCTGTATCAATTATAATAATAAATTATATATATTTTGTATTGTTGTTCATGTTTCTATCACATTCAAGTTGTTCGTAAAACGTAATCAGTAATCCGTAATCTGTAATCTGTAATCCGTAATCTGTTATCAGTAATCCGTATTCAATAATCCGTAAAACCGTTTCAGTAATCCGTAAACCGTACTCTCTCATCATCAACGTTTGTCGTTTCGATGTCCATGTCCACAGATTGTGCCGTGGTTTGAATTTTGCTTTTAGTTCTATAGTTTTTAGCTTCTAGTTCCTAATTTCTAGTTGGTAATTTATAGCATATAGTTTTGTTGTTGTACCCGTTGACCGATTAACGTATTAACTAACCATACCTAAGTATTATCATATGTATAATCTAAATAGTGTACCATATCTAAACCGACATGAACACATTTATATCAATATATCGTTGGCAAGAATATAGAATCAATGTATATACATATATAGCAATTATGATTAATTTTGTTCTGCTTTGTCTGTGTCTCTTCCTGTTCCAAATTCCCATTTCATTCCGTTTTAAGAGACTAAATAGTTTCCGTTTCCGCTTCCGTTTACATTTTGTTGTAGTTTATAGATCGATATATTGATATATCTGTATATAAATCTATGGATATGACCACTTACTTACCTACTACTACTACTACTACTACTACAACTATTACTACTTATGAAACCGATATATCGTATGTATATTGTATTGTACAGAATACCTAGCTAGTTTCATGTTTAACTCCAATCAAAACCAATCAAAATACTCTATAAATAAATACTCTTCTGTATAGCTAGTTGCCACCGATCAAGTGCCCTACTACTACTACTAACCACCAACACATAATACACCTATATCTATCTTCCTCTCTCTCTATATCTTTTTCACACTCACAAACACAGAAACACACTCTAAAAGCGCAGAGATGTATGCTATGGAATTTGATAGTTTCCCAATTGCAAATGTCTCTGCCCTTCTTGCTTCGGTTTTGGTTCGAGGAACATACCAGTTTTTGTTAACGCCTTTGTAATATTTTGCTAACTATTTGTGTGACACCCACATATATACACACACACACACATACCAAACACACCTATCTACTAAAACATAACATACATACAAGTCCAGCATAAAAATTTAACCTTAAACATTTTTAAAATTCATATACAAATATATAGTTTTCTTTTATGTGCACCAAATTCAAATTCTAAATAACGAAAATTTACTAATTCATAATCCATAGTCTTATGTATATCTTGTAGTTGTTTTAAAAAAAAAAGACTTAAGGTGATTATGCCATACATTGAAATCTGACGGGGCTCAAATATCTGTTCCCGTGACCCAACCGAAACCCAAAAGAAAAACAAACCAAAAACCCAACAAAAATATTTAACTAAAGCAAAATAAAAAGAACAAAATTCCCAAGCAGAAAATAACAATTAATTGCACTCTAATAACGATTGATCTCTGTTCCGATCCGTTTACACCGATCCCAATTTACGATCGGATACCAATTCAGGCGTGGTCCTGTTCTCGTCGGCGGTTTATTTCGCGGAAGCTGGCAGCGACAGTTCCTTTTTCAAGTCAATACCGGACGGCTTCTGGTGGGCTGTGGTTACCATGACGACGGTGGGATATGGTGATATGAGGTACAGACCATGTTTCAAAATTTCCGTTCCAATTCCACACGTTCCTACCACGTTCACAACTGTGTGCTGCCTGGCGTGGCACTAGCTACTCTCCATATTCCTGCTCTCTTTCTCTATCTCTATCTTCATCTTGTATATGTTATATATCTCCCTATTTCTCGCTCTCTCTCTCTCTTTGTAACTCTCTCTCTCTCTCTATTTTTTCCTTCTCTCTGTTTTGTAACTGAGTGTTGTACAGTCCCCTCCCATTCTCACCCGTCACAGGCTATATATATATATATCTTTCTATAGCGCTATGTATGTGGTGTCTTTGTAATGTATTTGCCAAATGTAAATAGAATAATGAAAGAATGAGACATCCGTCTCAATGGATCCATTGCCAACCGTTCCGCTACAGTCAGCAAAGCCGGGCGGCGCATTTGTACAGTTGTGACAAAAGGGGAATACAGTTTTATCCTTGTAAATTGAACGATGTGAATACGAATATGATAAGCAAGCTATAGATGTTGTGGTTCCATTTGTTGTGATCGCTCGCTTTAATTGACCTTGTTGCCCCGCTATCCCCAACCTCTCCTCTCCAGTATTCCCCTAGTTATTTATCTCATTTTCATTTACGTTTCATTTCCCCGTTCCCTGAGTGTTGATCCCACTTGTTGGCATGATCAGTTTGCTGTCTCTGTCTCCCATTCTCTCTTAATTTCCTTTTTTGTTCCGTTTTCATCTGGTTTTTTTGTTTCGTTCGTCCTCAGTATGTTCTCCAACATCCCCCTTAGTATGTTCCGCATCCCACCAATTCCCCGACGAGGAATAACGTCTATATATCGTTCTCATGGCATTCGTTCCATTGTCCACTGTCGTTCCACCGCAAAGATTTAACCATTTTTCTTGGCCCCGTTGCAGTGGTTAGCAGAGAATTGCTCCTCTGATCTTTCTCTGAGACCCCTTTTAACTGTCCATGGGGCTAAGACCTGATTTTCTGCTTGGGAATGCCGCCGGATTGTGGTGAAGTCGATTCAACTCACACGTGAATATATCAGACATTTTTTTTTATTTGAACCGAAACAGAAACACTGAAACAGAAAGCCCACCAGGTTTGCCAATTTATCTTGCGGCTAAAGCCGAAGAAAAATGGTGACATTGAAATAGAACCAACTGAAATTTTTTGAATACAGAAAACACCCTGAAACCACAGACACTTTGACGAGCTTCTGACGCATCCAGACTCTAGACCCAAGCTACTCGACCACCTTTTAAAAAAATACACTCTTTGGTTAAATGTTATTTTCAAAAAAATAATAATAATATACAACAAAAAAACATAAAAGAATATAATACCAATGCAAAGCAATATTTCTCCCATCAATTTTTTTAGGCGTCGTACTCTTCTCATCGGCGGTTTATTTTGCGGAAGCTGGAAGCGAAAATTCCTTCTTCAAGTCCATACCCGATGCATTTTGGTGGGCGGTCGTTACCATGACCACCGTTGGATATGGTGACATGACGTATGCAAATCTATACAATTTTAACTCTTATGATTACGTTTACGATAACTCCAGTTATGATTTATTGTTTCGATTCCGTTTCCTGTTCCGTTTCCCCTTTATCGTTTCGTGTCGTTCCGTTATCGTTTCGATAACGCCGCTCTATCGGCGTTCCGCTCCTACTCTGTTCCACCTGTATGTGTTTTCCTTCTAATTTTTTTTTATTTATTTACAACCGTTTCGTTTGCGTTCTCTGCGTTATGTGTGATTAAAAGCTATGAAGCCCTAATATTAAAAGCCCGCCCCGCCCCCCACCCACCGCTGAAACCCAACTAAAGCTATCTATTGAATTGTATCCAAACCTAACTGTACTTATTGTTAACCCCCATTTGAGTTTCGTATCTCCCGATTCTAATATGCTAAATACCAAACAAGAAAAGAAAACAAAAAAACATGAAAACCTAACTGTTGTTGTCTCTTACTTTAAATCGCTGAGCTGTTTGTTTGTATTCCGTACGAACTTCTATTTGTATTTGTCTTTGTCTCTGTATTTGTAACTTATCTTTGCCTTTTGCCATAATTCTTGTGTTCCATTCCGTTACGTTTCGTATCCTTTGGCTCATTTCCGTTCGGTCCACGTTTCCGTTCCGTTACCATTCTCATCGCTCTTTCTTTCTCGCTCGCACTAGCCTTCACCCTATATATCTCTGTCTCTCTCGCGTCTTCCGTTTCCATCTCATTGCGTTTCTTCGACTTTTATTTCTTATTTTAGCGCCAAGTATTTATGCTTATTATTTTCTTATCGCAAATTACCTATGTAACGTTGTGTCGTTGTTTAGTTCACAAAAAAAAGAAACAATATATAAAAACCAAAAAGAAAAAAACAAACTGAAATATTCTCGAAGTAATACCAAAAAACAAGTCATTAGATCAACTCCATCAAAGTCTCATGCCGGTCATTGTGCTCACTGTACAGTGATGCTCATAATCGCCAACATCTAACACTCTAACACACACACACACACACTTGGGGTGATAAAACCACTCATACAGAGCGATAACGATAACGATAACTTAATTTGCTGGCCAAACAAGCGTTTATCGAGTTTAACCCCCACACAACATACACACTACAAAAAGAAAAAAGGAGAAAACAAATATAAAGCAGAAGCAGAAGGATATCCAGACGAAGCATGCTGCATGTGCCCGATAAATGCCACACACACACACACACACACATACCCCACCCACACACACTCACACTGGGGCATAAAAGTTGAGCTACAGCCGCCTTTAATGAGCAACAAAGCCCAACTGCCTCTGCCAAATCCAATTGCCTTACAACAACCTCTTCACTCCTCTCTACTTTTTCCAACTTTAACAGGATGAAAAAGGGAAAAGTTTTTTCCATACACACTCACTTACACACACACACCACCCCCCTCTCTCACACTCACTCTCTGTGTGTCTGTCTGCCAGCATATGTATTTGCCACACTCACTTACACACACACACACACCTGGGCCACTCGCTCGCACTTATGCAATAATTATGTCTGTATATATATACGCACCCAACAAGATGCCTCAGAAAATACCCAAAAAAAAAAGAAAGAAAAACATACCAGAATTATACGCTTTCCCCACACCCGTTGTTCTAAGTGTTGTGCCTTCTTCTTTCTGACTCTTTCCGTACTTCTTTGATTTGAACGTTCTCTGCTAGACTAATGCCTACTTAAGCCCTCCGCCTCTATATATACTATATACATATATCTCTCTCTATATATAACTACTATATAAGCGTACACCTATCCAATATCTATACCTGTATCAGTATCTACTATATATATAATGCGTAATGCCGTATGATTTTGCCAATGCATACAGTATATATGATATATAAAAAAATGAAAACCCTACGCAAATGAAATACTAAGAACAAAACGAGAGTTTTACTTTACATTTCTTATATATTTGTATTTTCATTTTATTTATATCGTTCGTTCGTTAACATCGCTCGCTTCCATCCAAAACAAAATACCAAAAAATAATCAATTTAAAAAAAAATACAACCAACTCAAAAATCTCGATTCAAATATAAATATATATATATGTATACAAAAATATATATATGTATCAAATGTTAATTAAACCAAAAACAACAACCAATGACCCCAAACCAACAACAACTACAAAAATTGCACCAAAATATATATATCTCACCTATAAAAAAAAAAAAAAAAAAACAAAAAATACAAATACAAATTGCTATTAATAATAAATGCAACCCTAAAACGACCGAAAAACATAAAACATGAAATGCAAAATGATAATGAAAATGTGCTAATGAAATGCCAAATCTAAAAAATTTCATGATATCGTTAATCGTTTGACACACGACTATCGCGACTATCGATTGATATCGAAATTGAAATCGAAAACGAAATTGAATTGAAATTTAAATTGAATTTGAAATTGTGAATGAAAAAAAACTGGATTTGATTCATTGATTGATTGATTGAATAATTGAAATTGAAAATTGATGGTACAGACCCGTCGGCGTTTGGGGCAAAATTGTGGGATCACTGTGTGCCATTGCTGGTGTGCTGACCATCGCACTCCCGGTGCCGGTCATCGTCAGCAATTTCAACTACTTCTATCACCGCGAAACGGATCAGGAGGAGATGCAGAGCCAGAACTTTAATCACGTTACTAGTTGTCCATATTTGCCAGGTACATTAGGTAAGTTCAACACTGTGTGTGCACACCCTTTCCACCACCACCCCCCCGTCTCTTTATCGCTCTCTGGAGCTCAGTGGCTCCTCTCTCTCACTTTTTGTGTCTTGAGCTCGTACTCGAAACCCGTTCTCGATTTGCATTTATGAAAGTTAAATAAAATACCAACCCGAAACCATCCGCAACAAAAATCCATCCAAAAACCAATTACCAACAAACAACCAAATACCAAAACCACAAATTCAAGTAGAGCTACAAAAAAATATAAGAAAAGTACCAAAAGAACAGTAGATCCCCGTTGAATAAAAATAGAAACATTTACGAAGAAAGAAACGAATTGTGGATGCCACTGCCGATGCCGAAGGCGGTGCCGTGTGTCCCAAATGCCGTCAACTAAAGTCTTATAAACCCCAACTGGGTACCGGCACTGCTTTCGAACCAAGACATGATGCCAACCACACAGAGAAAAAAAATATCATTGATTTTGGTATCATTTCCTATGAAAACAAACCTCTATCTGGGGCGTATCAGCTTTCCTGTTATTGTAATAAAAATGATATAATTTGAATTATTAATTCCAATACTCCAACAATCTTGTACAAAAGCGATTAATATTTAAATCTTCCAAGACTTAAAATAGTTATAGCTGACTTACAAAAAGTTTTGGTTTATCCTTTTACAATATTGTTATCTTATATAAAACAGATATAATTTGAATCTCTAAAACTTTACAACAAATTGTTGACATTTTTTGCAACATTGTAGAATATATCTTTTACATTTAAACTAAGTTATTACAATTCATTACAATATGTAATTGAAAACCTTTAGAAACTCAGTAAAACCCTCGATTTCCTGATTCCAAACTAAAGTCTGATATGCCAACGGTTATGAGATGTGTTGTTGAACAAAAAGTTAATTGAAAAAGTTGAGATGACAGTTATGGAACAGATGTTATGTTTTTTCTCTGTGCACTGCCGAACACCCACCAAAGCACACACCAATTCACACCACATCATACCAAGCCACACCACCACACCACAAGGCATAAAAAGCATTGGTGAAATGGTGTGTTGGTGCGTTGTTGCGTTGGTGTGCTGGTGTCCTGGTGGGTGGCATGCTGCAGCGCTTATGGCAACCGTGTTTGGTGGGGCAGCGGTACTGATGCCACAACCACAACCGACGTGCACGTACCGTGTGTGTTTTGTGTGTAAGCAAGTACTACAGCAAAAAACATTACTGTTGCCGATGATGCATTACAACTGTATGTGTGATCTCCTCTTTCTCTCTTCTCTCTCTCTTCTTTTTGTTTCTCTCTTTATTCCGTCAAATTGTATGGCCAATTCGAATATCGAATCGAAACGTAACCTCCACACAAAATCCAAAAAAAATCCCCCCAAACTCTACCCTAAATCCAATCCACTCGGAACTTTATGCTCCGATTTGACCCGTTCCCGCATCCTGGCATTGTGTGAATACCCCAATCGAACCACTCACTCACCCCAACGAAATGCCACGCTCACACCACAAACACACACACAACACAACACACACTTCCAACTGTCTGCCAACGCGTGAAAACACACTAAAACCAATGCATACAAACCACCAAGTAGGTCAACACATGAAGAAATCTTCGTTATCCGAGTCATCATCGGATATGATGGATTTGGATGATGGTGTTGAGTCCACGCCGGGATTGACAGAAACGCATCCTGGACGCAGTACGGTGGCTCCATTTTTGGGAGCACAACAGCAGCAGCAACAGCAGCAGCAGCAGACGCAGCAGCAGCAACAGCAGCCTGCAACATCGATGTCGATGTCGCTGGATAAGCAGCTGCAGCATCCACTGCAGCAGCTGACGCAGGCGCAACTGTACCAGCAGCAGCAGCAGCAGCAGAATGGCTTCAAGCAGCAGCAGCAGCAACAGCTGCAACAGCAGCAACAACAGTCCAACACAACAACAATAAGCGCAAGCGCGAGCGCGAGTGCAACGGCGGCAACGGGCAGCGGCAGTGGCACCAGCGGCCTCACCATGAGGCACAATAATGCCCTGGCCGTTAGTATCGAGACCGACGTTTGACTACTGGGTAAGTGTTGGTTAACGCCACTCGCTTGCTGCACAGAACCACACCCAGTCCCCGTCCCCCCACCACCTATATCACTCTCTATCTCTCTCGATAACCCGTGATCTCTAACGATCTCTTGTTCTCTAGCACACACATTCATTTCTTTTCCCCACCACAAAACCCCCTATATACACCCGTGCACCTTGAGCCGTAGTCCTTAATTACGTTTAAGTGTTGCAAAATGCCGAAAGCAAAATGCAAAATTCCAAAACGGATTGTTCGCACGGGCCGTCGTCGTAGCCGCATATGCAAAGCAGTTTAAACCATATAATATTTGATAAATTGCTGCGCGGTGTAGGAAAAAAGTATAATAATATTTTAAAAGTTGCTATAAATTATTAAGTAAATAATAGTTTCAATAGAAATGTTTGAAAATTTAGGAGATAAACTTAAAAATATAATATAACTTGCAATGTTTGTGCAGTACTTTCCACAAGGAAAGAAATTTCAGAATCATTTAAAGGATCAGAAAATGGTCATAAAATCATAGCTAAATATATTTTAAATCTTTAATTTCTCATCTTTTTATACAGTAAACTCTATTCCCTGTGCAGTGCGAACATCCGATTACTAAAATTGAACTGAATTGAATTGCGATTTGATTAGAACATAACTTTTTCTCTCTTTTTTCTCCACGTGGCGCTCTCTTCCACCTACGCGATACATATGTTTACCTATATTTATGTATTAACCAAATCCGAAACCAAAACCAAAATCTAAACCTAAACCAAAACCGAAACCCAAACAAAACCAAATCTGAAACCTATATACCTATATCGAAATCTGAACCTTTTGTCTACGTCTTGAACCCCATGTATGTATGTATTACGTATATAATATAAATGATATATGTATGTATGTATGTATGTATGAATGTATGTATATATATAAATCAGTGCAAAAGACGTTACGTGGTATAAATTTGGCCTTGACAGGAGTTACGTTGGATGCCAGAAACGACTACAAAAGCTGTTTATATTTAATTTTAGTAGAACAAATAACAAACAAATTTAATCTATTGCTAAATTAAATATAAATTTAAATTTAAATTTAAATTAATTTAAAATTAATTTAATTAAATTATACATTTAAAGATAAACAACACAAAAACAAAACCAAAAAAAAAGAAACAAAAACAAACTAAAAACCGACCCAAGCTAGCACAGGCTTGAATCAAAACCAAGCAAAAAAAAAACAAAAACTAAAAAAAAAAACTACCTAAATAAATGAATAAATAATAAGTACTACGGCATAAACTCACCTCTCCCCCGAAGTAATGACAAATAACAAATGATAAACCGAGAGGGATTTAAACATAGCATAAACATCGAAGAAGAAGGTAGAATGGACGCTATAAATAACTAAAAAATAACTCAACTTTTTAACATTTAATTCCAAAATCAAGCGAAATAAACTCCATTTGCAACCGGAAACTGTAAATAATTCAAATAAGTCATTAAGCTCACACGAAATTATTTTAGCGAAGTCAGAAATCAGAGAAAAGAAAGTAAGGCTTTAGGGACGATATCAAAGCAGTGCACCATTGAGCAAGCATTAGCACCAAGCAGTCCATCTATAGGAAGATCCTTAAATACACTCACCACACTCACCAAACTCACCACACTCACTAACGTATAGTAAAACTGCCGTAATATTAAATACGAAATGAAAGTAAATCCCATAAAATCATCCCCACTTGTATAGTCAGCCCAGAGGCGTTGTGTGCTTTTAAATGTGACAGAGATAGATAAAACCAATTAACTGAATAACCGGATAAACCAATAACTGAACTAACTAACCAAGCATTCACTTAATAAACGTGTATGTATGTGTATTCTGTGTATAAACCTAAACATATATCTTCAGATCCCTGGATCTGGATACCTTTACCTTTTTTGGTTTTTGACTAGGGCTTAAATCTCGATTACCCCACCCACCCGATAACCGATAACCGATAACTGATAACCCACACACCTAAACACCGACTAACTGTACCCATATCAGCTGCGATTCTTCTGCTTCGATCCCCCCGATATTAAAACGAAATAAAAAGTACAAATATTCACCTAAAAAAGCAAAAGCAACTATAAAGTTAATAATAATTAAAAACAAAAAATAAGGGCAAAGGGCAATGTGTATTTTTTTTTTTTTAATTTTTCTTTGAAGAAAAACAAAAAAACGACTGCAAACTAAACTAAACGAGACCGAACATTAGTCAAAACAGGCCACAAATTGCTCGAATTCCGGTCACAGATCAGCTTAATTACAATAAAATTATTTAAATAAAGAAAATATATAAAGAAAAAGCATACAAAAAAAATACAGGAGATGTACCACAAAACCAGAAAACGCTCTTATGATTTTTGTAACGAACGCAGACTTAATATATATCAAAAGCTGAAGGTAAAAAATTTAACTAAAAGCGATTTCTTCAACTGAATTGTAAGGGTTACTATACATTTTACTCTCCCCATCACAAAAACTCAATTTTCCGCTGAAAGAAAAATCTACACAAAAACAACAACAAAGAGTAGTAAAAGAAAATGATTAAAATATAAAAAAAAATAAAGATAAAAGTATAAAGTATAAAGTAAACCCAAAATCTTTGACTGAAGTATGCGAACTCACAATGTTTGCATAAAATGTATAATAAAAAAAAAGAAACTATAAAAAAATAATAGCAAATAACATATTAAAAGTATATACATATTGATGTGTGTGTATATGTATACCTACATATATATATGTGTATGATATATATCATATATATCGAGGAAACCCTGTACATAAGAGAAAACAACCAGCCGCTGTATATTGATGAATAGCAATGGAAACTAGATGGCAAATCATTCAAGTGTAAATTTTTAAAAGAAGCTTTGAGAACCGTCCACGCACACACATATACCCTTACACACAGACACACACAAAAACAGGGAAAAATAGGGATATTTAGAGAGATTGAAGCCGAGTTAAAGTCTGAAGCCAACCGAAGATCCGGAGGAGCAGAGCAGAGCAAAGTGCCTTATGGAACATTGTGCGCTGGCTGACAGGAGACCCCACTTCCTTCTCTCTGTGTGTCTTTATGTTTCCGAATTCCAACATAAATTCATATATATATATATAAATAAATATATATATAATATCTAACCATCCTTGCCGGTAATCCTTGCAATTCAGTGGAAGCAGCTCAAAAAAATACAAAAAAAAATATCAAAGAAAAAAGAAACAATAAAGATGCGCGTTTCCACAGGGCCACAGTGGAGAGTGGCTAGAAAGGACAAAGGCAACTTCATTGTGGCATTAACTGCTGTAAATACTCTTTCTCCAGATACAATTACAGATACAGATACAGATACTAAAGATAATCTACAGAAAGCAGGACGAAAAACCTTCAACTCTCTTCTTTTTTTTGTACAAAACAAAAACCGTACCGAAAAGCTTAATGACACTAAACCAAAACATTTAAAACTAAATATAAATACTAAATAAATAAATGAAAAACTAAATGAAATATTTACACACATACAAACACACATGCAAATGTCATTTAATTGTACTGTACGTAGTCATACCAATAAGTCGCTCTTTGTATGTGTAAGCGATATGAATTAGGCATTAGGAAAAGATACAGATAAAAAGATACGATGATAACGATGAAAATGGTCCAGATGAAGATGTTGAAACTTGCAAACACCAAAACGAACGAGGAGAAAGGAAGTTACAGAGGAGAGGGAAATACGAAGCATAACGAAAAGAAAATCGCTTACTTAAGAATAGACCTTATATGATTTAGATCGGGATTGAGATAGTACTGGTTTTAGCTTCATAGATACAGAGAGGAGGTGGAACCCAGATAGCAGATAAATGTTACCAGATAGAAGATACAAGGAGCCGAGTGTAAAGTAAGGTTGTTTTTTTTTTTCTTAGCCTTAATCTAGACAAATGATAAATAAATTTAGCAAAACAAAAAACTGTAAATGAGTGTAAGGTTTACCGATTGTATAGCAGAATTTAGAATTTTGATTTTGAATTTTTATTATTACAAATTCACATTTTGTCCTACATCTTAAGACTTTGATTTAATCACAAAATAAGCCACTAAAATTAAAACAAAGAATAAACTAAAGATAAAAACAAAAAGAAAACATAAAAAAAAAAACGAAAACAATGAACTACAAATAAAGCGAATTGAAAACAGAAGAGAAAAACCAGAAAATCGTGTTAATATTTACCTATGAAAGCTTAAAACCAAATACAAAAAAAAAGAAAAGAAAAGTAAAAAATTTTGGAATAAATGTGTTCAGCAAAAGAAATGTTATTATATGTTTAAATAAATTACAATTAATTCGAAATGAGCAGACAAAAAATTTAATGTAATTAAATTGAGCCTAAGTAACACACAAGCAAAAATTCAAACTGTAAATAGGCACGACATAAATCATACCCTATACCTATACCTATATATATACATATATATGTGTATATGTATATATATAGTGTGTAGCATATATTTAGACATGTGCGAATTACAAGCTAGCTAATCGCAGACTAAGCGTAAACTAATACCAGAAATACCACAAATGCCACAAAAATATCAGAAATACCACTAAATACCACTACAAAACAAAGTATCAGAAATACCATTAATACCAGGTATTCCTGGTATTACAAAGACAGCAAAGCAAAATACCAAAAAAAGAACAAAAAAACTACCAAGTTTGTATATGATGACGCAATGACGACACCACAAAACAGGTGAAGCTTAAGCCCCAATATATAAGCTGATCCTGATCAAATCCAATCCGATCCGATCCGATCTGATCCAACAATAAAGAAGCGATATCGCAGACAAGTAAAAATAAATTTGAGAAAAGTGTTGAAGCGTTTTTTTATTTCGCACACTGTACCAGTGACGCCTTGTAAATAGTAAAAATACTGCATATACGCATTTTCGACTTATCCGTCTCATTCCGCCCCTCCTTTGTTCAGTTCAATTCCATACATATCTATATATATATATACATATATATAGATATTTTGTATTTGTATTTTGGTATAGATCCGTAGTTAGACGAGTCGAACTGGAATCGGAGAGAGTCCGTAAGGAGCTCGTTAAACAGCAAAAAGAAAAGCTAGTTCTGTATCCTTAGTTCGTACTGTTAAATCGTATTAGCTCTGACGCTCAAGAAATCGAGAGATCGTAAAGATATGGCAAAAGTAATAATAATAATAATATCGCTACATAAATACATAGATATGATACATAGAAAACCTATCGATGGGCAAAACTCGAATTGTATATAATCCATTTTGTTTTGATCAAAAGTATTTATTAACTTGGCATATCAGCAGTTGAGTCACTCAATCAGTCAATCAATCGATCGATCTAACCAATTAGACACACAACCCATACATATTCTCCTAATTTTTTTTGTATTAGTTTTATGCTTCAACTATGCTCTCTACTCAAAACTCTACGCTACTCGAAATCAACTCTAGTCTAGCTCACTCTAACCCCCAAAAGCTAAAACAGCATTAAAAGAAAAACTTATAAAACAAAACCAAAAACGAAATCGAAATCGATGAATGAATAATGCAAAAATGATGAATACTAACTTATGCTCTAATAAGTATGGAAGGCACTCAGAGTCAGGATGATCGAGACGAAGAAGCAAACATATCGTTGTAAATCAAGAACTAAGTTATGATAACCAAGGTGTAACTCAATGGAGAAACTCAATCCAAACTAATTAACTCATAATTATTTTCCAATATAAAATACTACTTATAATTCGCAACAACAACAACAAACAAACTAAACAACAACAAACACTCGACTTCTCCTCAATTTTTAAAACGAAAACCAAAAACAATCCTTTCAAGTTTTCCATTAAATTTAATTGCAAAACCTAATGAAAAAAAAAACTTATCACACACTCACACGTACGTAAAGCATAAAAGGACATTTTCCAAAATGAATAAAATTACCATAAATGCTATTTACGAGAAAATCAAAACATAAACCAAACGAAACTTTTTCAAAATCTTCTCAATGCTTCAAAAAAAACAAACCAAAAATTAACAAATTTCTATTAAGGACAAAGACTGCAAATAGAGATTTAACAAAAAAAAAGAAAGAAAAAAACCAAAGAAAAGTACACTTAAAAAGGAAAAACAAAAAGAAAATTACAAAAAATAAGTAACAAAGAACGGTAACATTTTTAAATTAATTAATTGATTTTTAAATTCTAATTTGGCCTTGATTCAACCTACCAAGAAATAAGTTTAGGTTTAGTTAGAAGTTCCAAGACACACACACACAACACACAACACAACACAACCGAACCGGACGGGACCGGACAGAACTGAATCGAATCAAATCGAACTTTCAATTTTTCGAAAAACCGAAACCCAGTACTTTCCAATGACAAACAGCAGCAACCAACAATAACATTGAAATATATATATATATATATTTATTTATATATATAGAACCAAAAAGAACAATACCTAACAGAAACGATATATAAAACCGATCACAGATAATACAAAGATTCGAATGCGAATAACAGAACGCAATAATCTCCATAGAACAACATTTAGTATTACGCCTAATAAGATATTACAAAAAACCGAAACTCACACGCATATTAAAGCCCATGAAAAAAAAAAACACAAATAAAAATGAAAAGAAATAAGAAGTAAAACAAAAAAACAAAAACAAAAACGAAAAACCAAAAAGAAAATGGAAAATGTTGTTAAGATTAAAAATGAAATGTTTTATAATCGTTATTCAATAAAAATAAAATACAAAAATAAAATTAATTAATTTCGAAGAAAGTATTAAAGCAATTAAACTATATTCGAACTCGAATTCGAAATTCGAGCAATTCTCTAGCTGTAAATCTTCCCAGAACCAGAACCTATATATATCCCCTATATCCTTTCCCGATTTACTTAGATTAGCTGGTAGTTATCCTTGCTTTGTGTTTGTTTTTCTTGAACTAAGTAATTTTTGGGTAGATTTCTTAACAAGGGGATGGCATTTAACCATTAACCATTAACCATTAGTTTTAGATATTATATATATCCTTGGTTAAATCGTAAGCCTAGACTCTAGTTCCCCATATATACTACTATAAATATATATCTAAGTGGGAGAGGGAAGTGGCCTTTCTCCTTATTAAACACACGCAGACAGACAACAAGTCCCTCACTCACATACCCCTATCACTTGCCCGTATATTTTTTAATACAACTATATATATATACGATATACATATGTATAAACATTTTATATATATGAAAATGCCATGACAGTAGCACATTCCATCGCAGACATTCCTAGCGTAGCTTAAACCAACACCCCTTTTTCACTCCCTCGAAAAAAAGAGAACACACACCACAACCAAGTACAGTGAAAAGAAATCATAAAAAACATAGAAAAAAGAATATATATATAAAACAAATCCATGCGCAATGCAACTTACTGAATATCTTGGAAAGTTGAAGTTCAAAACAGGTCAAGTCCGGCAAATGGCAGTCCAAGTGATGCTAGAATCCAACGCTAACGGTGAGTGTGACAATACCCAAAAGAGTCTCCAGTTTCTCCCACCTTAAACCGCCCCCCAGACCCAAGTCCAACTCGTTGACAAAATCCATTTTTACAAAATATATATATATATTATATATAAAAATATATATATATTAAGACCCCAGTCGGTTGTTTTCCAAGCTCTCTGTCTATCCTTTTGTTTTGAAACTCTCTTCAACTTTTGTCTATTCGTCGTATTCCTTTTTTTCTTTTTGCGTATGCCTCCATTTTGATTTTGCCCTAGTCCATATATATATATATATAAATCTTTATATATATATCTGTCTCGATTTACGTATAAATATATATTAAATGATATTGATAATCGTACATGGAATATTTTTGTAAACTTTTTTGCTTCCGTTCTCCCTGCCCCCTGCGCCGAATGTATAAAAACTGTAAGAAACGCTTCGCCTGCTGAGCCGACGCTCCTGCGCTATCCTGCTATATCGTTATCCGTTATCCCGTACCGTTATCGCTATATTCATTACTGCTAAAAATACAGAAAAAAAAAGATATATAATATTCAATAAGCTATGCAGCAGCAGCAGCAGCAGCGGCAACATTCTGCAACATCTGCGACCAGAGAACATGAACTAGAACAACAAAGAACAAGAACAACTAGGAAGAACTATAGCAGCCCTCAGTATGAGTCTCTGAGGCTGCGCGGCTCCTGCTTCTGCTCCTAAGTCCCGTTTCCCTGTGCTTCCCGATTCCGGTGCATGTGCAATCAGTTGCTGTATCCAATCGAAATCGAACTTAAAAACGATATTTGATATTGAGATCGCGACAGTACCAGAATCAGATCGCGTCAAGCGCAATCTGCCAGCAAATTTAAGCATACAAAACAAAATTAACAAAAAAAAATAAAAACCCAAAAGCAAAAACAAAAGAAATACAAGTAAAAAACCAAAATCTAAGCAAAAGCTAAGCAAAGCAAATACAAAAACAAAGCAAACGCAAACGCAAACGCAAAGCAAATCCCCAATTTTAAAAGCAAAAGAAAAAACAAAAATCGCAAAAGCAAAAAAAATATATATACAAAACACAAGGGCGCACGCTTAGCACATTTGCATAAATACAACTCTTACTTGCTACCTATACCTAAACTATATACTAATACCTTAAACACCCCACCCAAAAACAAAAAAAAAAAAAAAGAAAAAGGGAAACCACCCCACCCCTCACACTCACACAAACAAACACAAACACACATACACACCTACACTCTGAGGAATGCTAACACACAAAACCAAGTGTTAAATCGAAACGTTTTTTGGCTTTTCTACTCACTTTGAACACGTTTTTTCTCTCGCTTTGATTTTGATTTCGTTCCTTGACTCGAGTACTCGAATGAGCATTATATCAGCAATTACTCTTTGCCTAATTACAAATCGCTTAACTATACCTAATCTCTATATTATGAATACCATATACTAAAAAAAACTCCTACACACACAACGATCGATCGCAAAATACAAACACTGTAAGGCAACATTGAGTACGATTATTGCCAAGCAGTTTTGTCAGTCAAATCGCATTCATTATCCACCATCCACCATTATCATCCTAGCACCTAAAAAAAAAACAAAAAAAAGAAGAGATTCAAAAGTAAAAGAAAGGAAAACACACACAGACAGACAAAAACAAAAACACATATACATATAAACAAAGTACAGTCATGATCAGACATGCATCCAAAGTACAGTCAGTTCAAAAGGCAGTCAGTCAGTCAGACAACCGGCACAGACGACCCAGCGATGAGGAACTGCCAGCCCCCAAAGAAGAAGAAAGATCAAAGAAGATCCGGAAGACGAAGATGAAACGGAAGAAACAACAAAAAAAGGAATCAAAAGAAGACGAAGACGAAGGATATGTGGCTCTTGCTATGTGTCTCCCTCCAACCTCCGCCCCAAAACCGCTGTGTCAGTGTTGTGTGTGTGCCGAAGCAGTATTCGAAGCGGATGTCTTTGCAACCCGATGATCGATGGCCGATGACCGTTAATCGATTACCGTTAACTGAAACAACGTTACCCAACACTGGCAACGGCATCGGCCTCGCATCGGTTGAGCTCGGCTCGATTTGCTTTGGTTTTTTCAAGAGAAAAAGAAAAACAACAAAAAATGAACACATCTCTCTATGTATTATTCATTTCGTGTCAAGTTTAACAGCGACGACGCCAAACGCCGGCACATTTTGTTTATTCCATTTGGCAATAAGTACGCTTCGGTTTTTTGTTAGCCAAAACCAGCCCAGCTATCTCTACCCATAACTATATATATATATCAACTATATATGTATAAGTATATCACGATAATTTCATTTTATCTCTTGTTTTTTGACCATGATTTAACGGTTCTGTCTTTGGTTTTGATTTGAGTTTAGTTTATCACCAGTTACCCAGTTGGTATTTCAGTAACCATGTTTCCGGTTACCGCCAACAAAGTTGCTTTCGATGTTTGCATACGAATACTAATACGAATACCAAATACCACAACAACTTAATAACAACAATACCAGTAACAATATCCATACTTATACTTAATCCTAAACCGATACCTAATACCTATTACCTATACCTAGATCCAGTTGAGCTTTAGTTTTTGCTTTCAATTGAGTTTTGTTTACAATAAATGCTTTCCTCACCTGCCAAAAAAGAAAAACCCCACGGATACTTACTCGAACGCCTCAAGCCATCCACTTAATTAATTAAAATAACCAAAAACTATGCTTCGTTTGTGTAGCCCATATGTATCTGTTGTGACACGTTTTTCAATATTTCTTTATTTGCGTTAATTCTGATTTTGTGTTTGTTTCTACCAAGTTTTTAACTTAACACTTTAGTTTTGGGGCCCTGGAGCCTAGGGCTTCGGGTAACCCAAAAATCTATGCCGCTATCTAGAATAGTATAATCGAATATATCAAAACTTATAACTTATTTCTACTTGTTTGTTTTTTTATACCACCTGATTTACATACTGCGTTCTTCTTCTACGTTCTTCTTCATACCAATACCAAAAAAAAAAAAAAAACTACAACTATATATAAAAAATAAAAATAAATATAAAAACCAACCCAAAAAACAAACACATGAAATTCAATTGAACGAATTTTGCATATTTAAAAATCGGATCGGATCACACATCGAATCGATTTAAATATACAAACCAATTCGATATCGAACACAACAAACAAACACCCACAACGACAAAATGACAAAAAACCAATTGACAAACATGAATCGAATCCACAAATATTATTGCCATTGAACAAACGAATGCATTCAACAAAATGCGAAATGCATCCAGGCCCGTCGGCTTCTGGGGCAAAATTGTCGGCTCTTTGTGCGTGATCGCTGGTGTGCTGACAATCGCACTGCCGGTACCGGTTATCGTCAGTAATTTCAATTACTTCTATCACCGCGAAACGGATCAGGAGGAGATGCAGAGCCAAAATTTCAACCACGTTACAAGTTGTTCATATTTACCTGGTGCACTAGGTACTTACTACTACTATTAGCGGTTAAGAAAATTCCCCGATTTCAAAAAACCAAAAAAAAAAATACCAAAAAAGAAAAAAGAATATATCCTCAACCCTATTATCCCTACCCAAAAAAGAAATCTCTTTAGCAACCATTCCCCCGTAGCCTCCGTTTCTCTAATCTAATTTATCTGCTGATCCACGAACCCGAATCTAGGTCAACATTTGAAGAAATCCTCACTCTCCGAATCGTCATCGGACATCATGGATTTGGATGATGGCATTGATGCAACCACGCCAGGTCTGACTGATCACACCGGCCGCCACATGGTGCCATTTCTCAGGACGCAGCAGTCCTTTGAGAAGCAGCAGCTCCAGCTGCAGCTCCAACTGCAACAGCAGCAGCAGCAGCAGCAGCAGTCTCAGTCGCCGCACGGCCAGCAGATGACGCAGGCGCAGCAGCAGCAGCTGGGCCAAAATGGCCTCCGCAGCACAAATAGTTTACAGTTAAGGCACAATAACGCAATGGCCGTCAGCATTGAGACCGACGTCTGACTACTAGGTGAGTATGTCCAATGCCAATGTGTGAGTACCAGGAGTAATCTTCTCGTCTTGCTAGTTAGTAGCATTCTCTAGTGATATGTTGTTGAAAGAAAGATTATAAAGTTCAACGACTAAACAGGGGTACATTTTACTTTGGAAAACTGTTTGAAAACTCATCAATCACAAGCTACGTCCATTGTAGGGCGCCATAGTTGTTTAACAAAATATAGTTAGACCGCTGAAATGTTCTTTGGACTAATATTTAATTAGATAGTATTATTATAGTATTAGTATTAAAAAATAAGGACGCTAACTTCGGCACGTCGAAGTTTGTATACCTTTGCAGATTGAAATTCGATCTATTTATGTTTAAAAACCATAAAGTAGGCATCATTTCATTCACCGTTTTGCATTCTCCTCTAGTTTAAACGATCGTTTGTATGGCAGCTATATAATATAGTAGTCCTATTTTCATACAATTTAATCCAAAATTTATAGTTATTATGGCTATATTTTAAATTTAATGAAAATCTGTTGAAAACTGATAAAGTTTTAAAATTTGTTTTCTTAAAATTTCCCTATTGTTCCTATGGCAGCTATATATATGTATATATATAGTCCACCGATTCGCCATGCTCCGACTTATATAATAGGAAAATTAGATAGAAGGAGAACCCCATAGTTTCCTTGAAATAGCTTAAATTTGTTCCAAAACAAATCTCGCACATCTGTACTTATGATTCCCAACTTGTTCTAACATCCCCGGAACGAAGTGACTTCTACCAGCCAAGTCTCAGATAAGTGTTGTGCTACAAAAGTTGCAAGTCATTGTTTATTAGTGTTCAAATTAAGTAAGTGATGATACATACATACTGGTCATAGATACTTACTGATCAGAGTTACTTACTGCTCATAGTTACTTACTCCTCATAGTTATTAAGTGATCATAGTTACTTAATCTTCATTGATGCTGAATGTTCAGGGTTACTTAATGGTCATAGTTACTTAGTGTTCAGAGTTACTTACGGCTCATAGTTACTCACGCGCATCTGTGCATATGATTCCCAACTTGTTCTAACATCCCCGGAACGAAGTGACTGCTGCCAGCCAAGTCTCAGATATGTGTTGTGTTACAAAGTTGCAAGTCATTGTTTATTAGTGTTCAAAGTTAGTAACTGATCATACATACATACTTACTGGTCATAGATACTTACTGATCAGAGTTACTTACTGCTCATAGTTACTTACTCCTCATAGTTATTAAGTGATCATAGTTACTTAATGTTCATTGATACTTAATGTTCAGAATTACTTACTGGTCATAGAGACTTGCTGATCATAGTTACTCACTGTGCATAGATACTTAATGTTTAGTGTTACATACTGATCGTAGATACTTAGTATCTTAGTTACTTACTGATCATAGATTATTACTGCTCATAGATACTTACTGATCAGAGTAAACTACTGATCATATTTGTTTACTGATTATAGTTACTTAATGTTCATAGATACTTACTGATCATAGTTACTTACAGATTATAGTGATTTACTGAGCATAGTTATCTACTGATCATAGTTACTAACTGTTGAAAGATACTTACTGATCCTCTACATTTAACAATCGTTTCTCTGGCAGTTATATTATATATAATTGCCTGTTTAGCCTTAGTATATCTTCAAGAAAACCTAAAGCATTCTATTCTTCTATTCTGGGTCAGTTAAATAAATAGTTTTGTATGGTTATTTTTTGGGTAAATCACAGTTTATAAAATATTATAACTAAGCCAAAAATGTATTAATTTCAATTCGGAAAGCATTTTTGTGTTAGTTTTTATAAGGCTAACAAATCTGCATATTAAGTTTTAAAATGTAAAAAATTTAAATTTTTTGTCAAATTTTGACAAATTCAACGATGTAACCCCTTATTAAATTTTACTTAAAATTAACGAAAAAATTTTTTCTTTCCTTCACGGCTAGAAAGATTCTCCTGTTGATGCTGATCAAGAATATATATGATTTATTGGGTCGGAAATGACTCTTTCACTGATTAAATAATATTTACCTTTGTAAGATTCTTGAAATCGTTATTTTTATATGATATACTTTTCTGGCGAAGGCAAAGTTTAAAAAATGCATAAATTAGTCAAAAATGCATTAATTTTAAGAACAGGAACAAAATAATTAAGAACTTTGTGTATTTTATTTACATAAATTGTTGTATCTTTCTCATGTTTGAAATAATAACTCCATTGGAAGGCAGCATTTTGCATATTTAAGCTACTCTCTACATCATTTATTTGCAACTTTATTTTTTACAGTCAAACAAATGGAAAATGGACGAAATTTGCGCAGTGAAATGCTACGTTGGATGCCAGAAACGTCATCAAAAGCAGTCTAATTTAGAATTTTATTAATAAATACAATTAAATTATAATAATAATAATAATAATAATAATCAGTAAGCAGCGTAGTTGTAAATTAAACAGCAATGTACACACACTCACACACACACACACATACAAGAACACACACACACACAGTGCCAGTTCACTCAGCTTGAATTAGAGTATTCGTAGACACTTAAAAAAAAAAGTGAGGAGTCAAATATGGACTGGCTTTCTATAGGGATTTTCCTTGTTTTTCCTTTCATTTTCCTTCTGGTAATCTCCTCACACACTCACACACTCTACAGACACACCCACACACCCACATACACTCGAAGAAAAAAGAAAGAAAACTCTTCTTGATACCTATGTTCAAATTTAGCAACTAAAAAAAAACTAACAATCGTTAACAAACAAAACAAACAAAACAGATAACAGATAAACCCAAAAAAGGAAACACACACACACACACGAAACAAACAAAAAATGAAACTAAAACAAAAAATCGAATTATCTTAGTAGACTAATCTAATTGGAGTTTCTTCCTTTCTTTAGAAGCTAGCAAAATGGAAAAAAAAACAAAGAACAACAAAAACAAACCAGACAAAAACAAACAAACAAACAAACAACATACAATATCTGCTAATTTTGTTTTCAACTTTAAATTATGCTCTATTAATTAAATATTAGTCACAATATTAGTAAACCAAACTAAACCAAAAAAAGAAAAACAAAACGAAACAAAAAAATAAATACAAAAAACTGAACAACAGTAACAAAGTAAAAAAAAAACAGAAACAAAGCTAAATGATAACTAAAGGCAAAGCTAAGGAGTAAAAAACGATGGTCAAATCGTCGTTAAAACAGTGCTCTGACCTTGAGATATATCTTTTAGATCCAGTAAACCCATATAACTATGAAAAAAAGACAAAAATTCAGCTGTATGTATTTTTAAATATTTTTAAAATCTTTTAAAAAGTTCAGAAACCTGCCTAAGACTAAAGTTACTCATTATTTTAACTTGTCCGATCTTCCATTTATAATTTATTACTTATAAATGATAGATATTCTAACCAGTTCAGAGCACTGTTTCTATATTTCGTTGACACAACAAAAACATACACACACACAACATACACAAACACACACAACACACACACATGATAATGCTAAAAACATCAAAACTGCCGTTAAGTTTAAAGAATGAGTAATACAAAGATTATATATAAATAAAAATAAATATATATATATATTAAATATATACATACATTTACATATATAATTAAATATACATAAACTAAACTAAAACTGCTATTTTGTAAATAAGTAAGTCAGAAGCTGAAGCTGAACAAATAGACATAGACATACAACAACAACAAAATAAGATATTAAACTACACAAAAAAACGAAACAAAACAAAAATAATGAGCAACAACAACAAGGAAGAACCGCAAAAAACCAAACAAAAACCAACCAAAAAACAAAAAAAAAAAAAGAACAAATCATAGCTAAACTAAAGAGAACCTTAAACCAAGAAAACCAACAAAAGGAAAGCTGCTAACGATACAAAAACAATAATTAAACTTAGCAAATACAGACACAACCCAGAGCCACAAAACAACAAAGAACAATGAACTACCACAGCAATAACAAAGATGTCCCAGGTAAATAAAAGAAATGAATCAATAATTAGATGAAATTTACTAATTTATAGTATATGAGAGCTGTAGGAGAATCCCCGAAAAACCATTCCCTGGGCTCATCCAGAACTAGCTATGTGAATCTCTTATAGAGACCCTTGGACCCGCTTTCATTCACTTTCAGTTCAGAGATACAGTAGTTTTGCTTAAATCTTGAATTTCAGTTTAGTTTAGCTTTGTCTTCCTTACGTCTCAGAGGAACAGAGGGGTCTCCTTCAAACTAGAAAGATATATACAATATATAGCCCTCTGAATAGGTAATTGTAGGTGTCCATCTTTTGTCTCCACGCGTAGAATACAGATACACAGATACAGATACAGATACAGATACAGATACAGATACAGATACAGATACAGATACAGATACAGATACAGATACAGATACAGATACAGATACAGATACAGATACAGATACAGATACAGATACAGATACAGATACAGATACAGATACAGATACAGATACAGATACAGATACAGATACAGATACAGATACAGATACAGATACAGATACAGATACAGATACAGATACAGATACAGATACAGATACAGATACAGATACAGATACAGATACAGATACAGATACAGATACAGATACAGATACAGATACAGATACAGATACAGATACAGATACAGATACAGATACAGATACAGATACAGATACAGATACAGATACAGATACAGATACAGATACAGATACAGATACAGATACAGATACAGATACAGATACAGATACAGATACAGATACAGATACAGATACAGATACAGATACAGATACAGATACAGATACAGATACAGATACAGATACAGATACAGATACAGATACAGATACAGATACAGATACAGATACAGATACAGATACAGATACAGATACAGATACAGATACAGATACAGATACAGATACAGATACATTTTAGAATCTATGAGCTCACACAGATACACAGGAAACATATTCATGAGTTGTAACTTGATTCGCTGTCTTCCTGATTTTTGTGATTTCCAAAAACCAATCGAACTCTTCTCGAATCTCTAGCCACTTTAAACTTTTGTCAACAAATCCCAAAAAGAATACTAGAAGAAAACGGAGTTAGGAAAATCGTTAGAGGATTAACCAAAATTATCAATTTCAATTTGCATGCGCATTCGATAATATCAATTCTATACAATATAAGATACGAACTGCTTCCACAGCATAGTGCCGAGTGTTAGCGTGCAAATGGATCGATCGAAGCCATATCTAAATTTCTCTATACCTAGAATCCTACCTACAAAAGCTTTGCTTCTACTGCTCTCCTGCTAAACCCAAGAAAACTAAAAATTAATAAATTAAAGAAAGGTAAATAAGAGACAAGGACGAAGACACGTGGAGAAGCCACAAAATTACTTTGGACCACAGAAGAAACATCTCACAAGACGCCAGATTCGAATGTGTGTGGAAAAGAGCGAAGAATGGAGAATAAAGAGAGAAGAATGAAGATGGAAGAGCGAAGAATTCGATCAGAAGAATTGCAAGCCGAGAACTAAGCTAAATGCATGCATATATACATACAATACATATATGGATATTTATATATATACACACGTACATATATAAATATATGTTTTTGTTAGATATGCGACTGAATAACAATTGTTTTTATTGATTTGCTGCTTGTTGTAATTAAGAAGAATTTAAAGAAATGATAATATTTATACCGAAGCAATCTGTAAATATGTAAAAACAAAAAAGTGTAAAACCAAAAAAAGCGGAAAACCAACCAACAAAAAAAAGAAGAGAGAAACAAAACGAAACGGAGACAACAAATTATGAACGATAATGAATAAAAAATATATATATATAAATATAAATCGAATCAATTTACAGCTTTGAAAACCGTCCACACGCACACAGCAAACGAAAGCGAAAAAGAAAAAGAAAGCTATAGAGCGATAGAGCGAGAGGGAAGGAGATTGAGCGAGATATAGGGATAATGGGGGTAAGAGAGACAGCGAGACAGCGAGACAGTGAGACAGCAAGACAGAGAGAGAGGGAGAATCAACTAGAACCGAAGGACATTCTTACGTATACTTGATTTGGCCTTAAATGCAATCCAAGACACACCAGCTTAGCACACACTCACAAAACACCCCTCACCCAGACGGGCATATATATGCCAATGTATATGGATTCGGATCAGGAATATATATGTATACATTCACATATATATGCGTGTACATATTAGGCGATTAGCAAGTGTTGAACAAGTTACAAATTCTGAAAGTACATCATGTTTTTGTACGTGCGCCGCACTCATGTCAATGTCAATGTCAATATGTCAATGCCAATGTCCCGGCCATATCCATTAGCCTTACATATTATAATATATCATTAGCGGATTTACGGATTTATGGATTTGTGGATTTACCGATTTTAGTTTTTAGTTTGTTCGATTCGTTGAAAAGTTCTCGGTCGGCCAATCGTTTAGATACAACCAAAATGAGCAATAACAAGAATACAGACAGCAAAGATTGCATAATAAAACAGATATTCTTAATATTAACTATGGTAATTATACAATAATCTCTATATAGACATAACAGATAATAATAATACTAATAATAAACTTAAAACTAAAAAAACATATCGTCTTCAAGTCATGCAAAAAAAAAACAAATTAAATATTTTTTTTTTATAAGCGTAATTTACAAATTAATATTAAAACAATGAGAAATTGCTAAGAGAAAAGAAGCTTACTATTAAACAAACAAAAAAAGAAGATAAGAAAGAAAGAGAGACCGCAGAAAAGGACAGAGAGTTAGAAAGGCAGAGAAAGAGAGGCAAAGTCAGTAGCAGAAAAGGAACCAACTTGGCCAGACTACAACTAAAAGTGATATAAACCAAAAACAAGTCACAAAACCACAAAAAAAACCTAAAAAAAGAAGAATTAACAAAATAATGATAACTTGCCAAAATAATTAAGTGTACTAGCGAGAGGGAAACAGAAAGCGAGCGTGTGGGAGAGCAAGGACGAGAGCGAACGAGCGAGTAGAATACTATGCTAAAGTAATGCCTAGGATCAAGTACAGTCTGCAGAGTCACAGCTACTTTTCCAGCCGCCTTCCAGTAGAGAGACTCCGCCCCCATCCCCCCAAAAGTTCCCAGTGCCCACTTCCCGTGATCTCAAAGTCCAGGAAGATCCTTTCGCAGATCCTTTCGTTGCTCCAACGAAAGCGAATAAAATGAATAAAAACAAAGACTGGAATAAATACAAAAACAAAATACCAAAAAAACCAAATGGAAATGGAAAAACCTAACAAAATACAATATATATATATTATACACAGAACCATAGCTGAGGAGGGAGCGAAACCTAAGGAATTCTATGAATCCGATTCCGAGCAAAGTAATAATACCATTGATTTATTTAGTTGTTTCCATTTTGTAATAGCAAACAATTATGCATAAAGCCAAGATAGTTGAAAACATTAAATGCTTTGCCCAAAAGTAGGAAATGGTTTTATCATAATCCACTTTTGGGCAGTTTTTCAAGGCAATTTTCAGCTCAGTCTTCACTCGCAACTTCGACTCCATTCCAAGTCTTCATTTTCTATGCAATTAAAAAGAAACCAACAAAAAACCTAATAATAATAATAATAATACTTAGCTCAAGCATGCGAAATACAACAATTAAGAGTAAATGCAAAATGGTAAATAATATATGGTAACTAACAATGCCTAGGTAATACACACTCCCACACACACACACACACACACACACACACACACACTCAGAGTATTAGGCCCAGATCAAGTAAGAGGCAGGATGCAGGATATACCGGAAACAGTGTGGGGACAGGAAGTGGGAAGACGGGAAGAAAGCTGGCAAAGGAGAGTTAGCAAAAGGCGGTAGTCACTCCATGTAAATTATGCGTACAACAATAACAAAATGAAATAAGAAAACCAAGAAAAACAACAGCAACAACAACAAAATAGCAAGGAACAAACAGAAGATGGGCATATGGAAAAAAGCAAAAGAAAATGAAAAAAACACTACTTATGAATTAATGCTAAACAATTTACATATTAAAAGTATACATAAAAGATAACACTTAAGTAAATCAAATTATAACAGAAATAAAAAGCGCCGCAGCAATTATAAAATATATAGATGTATACAATATATGTATATAATATATATATAATATATATATATATATATGTATATGTATATGTATATGTTGTTAAGATTCTAAAAATGAAATGTTTTATAAATAGTTAAACCAACCAAAAAAAAAAACGAGAAGAAAGGAAGAAAGCAAAAAAGATTATTATATATTAAATACGGGAGAAAGCGAAAACCGAAACAGACACACACACACACACACACAATACATACACAGCTAGAAGGCAACAAAACAACAACAACAATAAGAAACAACACCAACAACTACAATAAGAAACCAATACAAAACAAACCAAGGCGAGCAAGCACAAAATTTACCGTTTGACTTTCGAGAAATTTAAAAAACAAACAAAGACAAAAAACAACAAAATGCAAACCAAAATACAATTTTTACAATCATTGTAAATTAAAAAAAAAAAAGGAAACCAGATTGGACTTCAAATCAAAGCAGCTTAAAAATGAATATAAAAAATGCATAAAAAAACAAAAACAAATGAATATGTATGAGAAATGTCAGCCAGCTAAGCAAGAAAACAAAATCAACACAAAACACCACACACCCAGACTCTCACACACACACACATGCTCAAAACAAACACACACACCCACACAGACAGAGGCAGACACACGTTACTTTATGAACATAAAACAAATTAAATGGAAAGTATATAAAATAAATTATGCTAAAAGGAAAAATTCAAAATATCAACAGGGTTTTTATATTATTCTCCTTTGATGGCAAGATAAATGGGGATAAATAGTTGGATGCCAGCGGACGCTAGAGGCTGCAGCGGATCCGACCTGGCTTATGGAAAGTCCAAAAGTTGGTGTCCGTCGGCCAATTAATGGGTTTTTACTCCAAATGTCAAAATTAAAAAAAAGTATAATTTTACAACAAATTCAATGTGTAAAGTAACATTAAAAACCCCCCACTTATTTGATAAAATCCAAATTATAATAATTAAATATAAAATACATTTAGTTACCCGCCACATTTGAATTTGAATTCAAAAATCGATAAGTTCCCGCTTACTTCTAACATAAAATACTCATCGAGGTTCGAAACTTCGGTAAGTGCCTAAATCGGCCGTTCGATGGCTTTGCTCCATGTAAAATGTCAAGTCATGTAAAGAGAATTAAAAAGCTAAACTGTTATACTGAAATACCATCGATCTGGCAACGCTGCATGTTCTTTTTCATCGATCTGGCAACTTTTTCGTCAGTCCGGCAACCTTGGTCGAATTTTCACATGCCAGCGTTGCCAGATCGATGGTACATTAATATAACAGTTTGCAAAAATCCCAGCCGCTTGCTGCTGCCTTCTGTTGGCCTGGTGTTCCAGCTCAATTTTTAAGCTGAAACCGGCCAGTTTGAAGCCTCGCTGTGGCCGCCAACAACAACAACAACTACAAGAACTACAACAACAACAACAAGAACAACAAAAATAATTTTTTTTTACAAAAACAACAAATTTTACAAAAACAGCAATATCTCCAGAAGGAGTCATTTCCGACCCTACAAACTATATATATTCGTGATCAGCAAGAACAGCCGGTTCGATCTAGCTATGTCCCGTAAAAAAATAAAGATGTACCCATTTCTATATCGATTCAAAATAAAAACATTCGATTATTGGTATCTTAAAGTCGACAGCCTCGACTATAGCGTTTATCTTAAAAGTAATTACTTAAATTCACACATTAAAAATCTTATTTTCGAAGCCTAACCTAAGCAAATGTCCACGGCTTGAAATTCCATTTCAATTTCCATTTAGCTTTTGTTGCGTTTCCTTGTTTTTTATATTGTTGATATATATTTACAGTGTGTTGAGTAGCGAGCGGGGATAATGATGATGACGGTGATGGGGGGAGTGGGTGGAGCCACGATCTGGTGTGCATATCACAAAGTGTTCATCCCTCCAATTGGCGGGACAGCTGAGATGTTGCGGATCGGATATCAGGGAAGCGCTGAGGAGGATCTGCCGCGTCTTCGACCCCTGGAAACGGAAGCGGATGCGGATGCCAGTGGAGTAGAGGCTGCAACGGATCCGGCCTGGCTTACCGGAGGCCTATAAGTGGGCAGATCTATGAATACGGCTCTATATTCCGGCACCTCTGGCCGCATGGAACGCGATTCCGACTGCAGCATATTCGTGTAGTAGTTGACCTCGTTTCCCGGCTCAACCGCGTGGCCCTTGTCCTGCTGCTGCTGCTGCTGCTGCTGCTGTTCCTGGTGCTCCACCTGGTCCTGCCACTCTCCGCCGTTGCCATTCTGCTCTCGGGAACGGGCTCGCATCAGCCGGAATAGATTCCTTTGCTGCACGAGGGACGAGGAGCGACGCGATGCCTTCTGTGAGCGCCGCCTTAGGGTTGTCGTGGTATTCAGGAACGCAGACTCCTCGTAGCGTGGTATATAGCGGGGCTTGCGTGACTCCGACGGACGCACAGCATCACGATCGTGGGGTGTCACATTGAAGCCAAAGAAACGCGGCGCCTGCACCGAGATCAGGGGCAGAAGCGTCTCCCGGGCGTAGCGTTCCGCCCGCTGCAGCAGTTCACCAAGCCGGAAAGGTAGCAGCTGGACGGTTTGCGGTTCATCCGGATCTGGGGATCGGCCGGTGCCCATTTGCGCCATCATTTTGGGTGGCGTAGCTGCAGCTGAAGCGGACGCAGGAGCCGAACTGGAGCTGGCCACTGGCGGCGGTGGCTGAGCCTGTTCAATGTCGCCGAATAGATCCAGATCCTTGCCCTGCTTCACACGCGGCGTGGTGGCCTTCAGCACGGGCTCCACGATCTCGGGACTATTGGTCGTGCCGTAATCCTGCAGATTTCGTCCTCGGTTCACGGCCAGACGTCGATCCTTGAGCACCGGCTCGAAGATTTCACCAGCAGGATCCGATGACAGGCTCCGACTCGATTCTGCAGCTGCCGCTGCCGTCTCATTGTCCAGGGAGTTGCCCACCAAGATGGGTTGCCAGGGCAGCTCATCCCCTGGCCGAGGGATAGGTCTGATTACTGGCCAATTTGAAGCTGGTGCCCAGATTGAAGATATCCTTGCGTTGCTTGGCACTCTCCACGCCATCCACAGCCGATTCCTGGACACTGGAGTCGGGCACATCGGTGGGCGTGAGCGTGGGATTAGCTCCACCCGTTCCGGAGCCAGATCCAGATCCTGGCGGGTGGGTGGTGTAGGCACCATAATCCTCCTGGTTATCCAGCTCACAATTGCCGGAATGGAGACGCATGCGGACTGGGCTGCCGCTGCTTAGCTTGGTGCTTGGCCGGCACAGTGAGTGGCTCCGTCCGAAGCTATCCGTGAGCACCACCTTGTCGATGTCCCAGTGGGGCAGGCCCTTGCTCAGCCAGCCGCTGTAGGATTTGTAGTGGAGGCTCAGCGTTGTGGGGAAACCCAGTGCCGGATGTGGAACAATAATCTTGGACACAATGTCGCCGGCAAAGAACTCTGCGTCGTCTTTCCTGTGAGAGCAGAGATGGAGAGTATAAATTACATTTCTTCAGAGCAGGACTTGGTTTTAAGAGGCACTCACTCGGATATCTCAAAGGTCTCGTTGAGGCCGCCATCGCCCTCGAGTATGGCCTCCAGGCGCCCAATGGTGCGCAGGGGCAGATCGTTGAACGAGTTGAAGATCTGCAGCTGGAACTGATGGGCACAGAAGGGCTCCTCCTCGCGGGTGAGTAGATACAGCTGGCCGCGTCCCGTGGAACGGTCGGCATAGTAGCCCATATTGCCGCACCTTGGCACACCCTCGGCCAGATCCTCATCGTCCTGGGCGCAGGGGAAGCAGCGTCCCTTGAGGAAGTCATCGTAGCTGGCACACGGAAAGGCGGGAAACAGGCAGCGCGGTGCCACCGAATCAATGAAGAATTTGTAGGCACGCCGATGGTTGCACAAGGATCGTCCCTCCTCATCCTCGGCGGCCTGGGCAGCTGTCGGTATAATTAATATAATATTATTAATTAATCGTTCATTAATAATTATAGCTCCAAACTTACACCATATAAAATCAGTTACAGCGCCCACAAAGAGATTGGAACAACCCGTCTGGACGCGTCCACCGTTGGGATAATAATCCACATGCCCCATGGGCTGCCAGGAACCCAAACCACCCAGGATCAGGTTCTCTCCATTCGAATGGATGACGTCCACAAACTCAGCATCGCTGCTATCCAACCGCACCTTCGGATGCTGGGCCTCGAAGAGCGGTCCAGCCGGATCTAGGCCTGTGATCCTTGACAATCCCGGCAGCTCGGCACCCGCAAACCCAGAGACATGGGCTCCCAGGCTAAACCCAATGACATGGGTACGCATCAGATCCAGACCCTTGTGCTGCTGTAGGTTGCGCAGAAGCATGGCCAGCTGCTTGCCCACCAAACGGGTATTGGCCGCCGCCCGGACGTAGTTCGGGAAGGTGGCTCCATTCTCCCAGTCCACGCAGATCACAATGCATCCTCCTGCGAGGGGAAAAGATAAATATGAGATGTAAGTATTGTCCAGGGACTAATTCTTCTCGAACTTACCACCGCCATGAGGGCCGTTTTCATCTCATAGATCCAGACATGTGGACAGGCGGAGCCAAAGCCATGGACTATGACCCGGACGGAGAGTTCATCGAAGCCCTCGAGGTCATCAATGGAAGGAGTGGCCTTCTTCTGGCCACTGGGACGCTCTGTGCTAAAGGTCTGACTACTGTTGGATGATGATGTGGCACCAGAACCAGACGATGATGATGATGATGATCCGGCATTGCCATCGGTCGGTGCACTTGTGCTGGGCTCCGTTTCCCGCTTGCCGCGAAAGGCATTGGTCATGTTCAGAAAGGAGAGCTCCATCAGCGGCCGATCGGATCGCTGGCGTGTGGAGTAGAAATAGAACTTGGTATTGATCTCCTCCGGCGGCGAGGGCAGCATCTCCAGATAGGCAAACGGACCCGAGTCCTCGAAGCAGCCCAGTTCACCATAGCAAACCCTCTTGACGGCCCTCCTCGAGCGATGTCCCTGATGCCGTGCCCGCTCCTGCTGACGCTCCTCGTGGGCCACCAGAGATTCCTGCACCGCCAGCGATAGTTCCGTGAAGTTCACATATTGCGGCACTGAGGTCACTTCCTCCTGGGCGAGGGCTATAAATAAATAGATATTAAAATATATATATATTCAAATATGAGTCAGTGGCAATTTAAGTAAATAAATGCGGTTCTGTGCATGGCGAGCACGTTCGCCTCCGCCAGCAAATAGATTTTATTGAATTCCATTTGGAATTTTGGACTCCTCCCTCTGAGGAATGTAAGTAACATATATGCGAGGAAGCTCTACCGGGTTAAAGTCTCTGATTATCACGATCCCAATTAGCCTTGATTTGTATTATAAATGTACAGGTATTTCTAGAACTTAAATAGAACATTTTATCAACTATTTTAGATAGCCAGAAAGGAAACTAACTTCGGGAAGCTAGAGTTTATATACCCTTGCTGTTTACAATTGAATTTTGGGATCTTTGAAGCCTTACCTATCTATATTTCTATATGCAAATTATGTTAAAAATCAAAAAATCTTAAAAACTCATAACTAAGCCAAAAATGCATTAATTTCAATTCAGAAATCGTTTCTGTGTTAGTTTATTTTAGGATAATAAATCTGCATACTTATTTAATATTTTAAGAAATCAAAATTTTTGTCGATTTTTGACAATTTTAATGATGAAACCCCTTTATTTTTTTGAAAAAAAAAATTAAAAACTTGTTTTCTGCTTGAGATGGCTAGAACGATTCGCCTATTGATGCTGATCAAGAATATATATAGGATTTATGAAGTCGGAAATGACTCCTTCATAGAATTTCAAGCTTCTAACCGAAATTATAATATCCTTGCAAGGGTATAAAATAATATATATTTTGATCAAGTAAACATAATAATGTAATGTAATTAGAAGGTAAAACTTTTTTCTTTTATTTCTTTATAAAGATAAATCTTTAGTTTTCTTATTTAAAAAATATATTTTCCCAAGTCTTAGTTGAACTTTTCCCTATGAAAATACTATTAACTAAAACAACTATAATAATACTATAATACTTAATATATAAACTACTTCAAGCAGGACAGACAGCGGTAAATTGGTGCTCAGTGGATCGAATTTTCCGATTTTTCAATGGCAAGGCGGGAATCTCTTTTGATTCAATTTTCCGCCTTACGTTTTCCCTCCTCCTCCCCCACCCCTTCCAACGGATTTGGAACGCACGCCACGAGGATGACATAACGCCGCCATTCGTGTGCGCAAGTGTGTATGATGGATCGCCGGAGCGTGATTGCGTTTTTAAAATAACCAAATACCCAAAAGTCGAACCTGAAACCAAAACTAAAGACAATAACCAAGTCCAAAACTGTGCGCACGCGCAATGAGCTTCTGCCGTTCCCAGAAAGGCAATGGGGAAATAGTGCGATATTCCAAAATTAATTTAGAAATCAATAAAAACACAGCAAAAGCGAAAATATACATATATAGGAACGCTAAAGTTGTGAGCAAAGATCGTAAAAATATACGGTGTACTCAAGAGATATATCACTATTTGAGATTGAGATACTTTGACTGACGTATCACCTGAACACTTTAGGACACTGCAGCTACTGAAAACCATAGGATAAAGTGTTTCTTTTCAAGTTGCAGGAAAAAGTTTAAACAAAAATCATGGCTAATTAAAATTATACATTAAGATCAGAATGTTGGCCATTAAAGGGACATCCATACGCTCTTTAAAAATTTTAAAAGTTACAGAAATACAAATACTCAACAATTTAAAGTAATTAAAAAAATATATAAATAACACCCCATGCAAAATGCTGAGGTGCGCCGAACAGGCGCTTATATAATTTAGAGAAATAGTTCCGACAAGAGCCCAACACCTCAGGCCACCCCAGCTACTGAAAACAATTCGGAAAATGTTCTATTTAAGTTACTGATTTCCCTAGAAAAGCTAACTTGGATCCTCTACTCCATTAAATGAATTGTCTTACTAGTTTTACCTTCTAATTACATTACATTATTATGTTAACTTGATCAAAATATATATTAATATATTGCAAGAATATTATAATTTCGGTTAGAAGCTTGAAATTCTATGAAGGAGTCATTTCCGACCCTATATATATTCTTGATCAGCATCAACAGGCGAATCTTTCTGACCATCTCAGGTAGCAAAACAAACATTTCTAATTTTTTCAAAAAAATTAAAGGGGTTAAAAGGTCTTTAGAATCTTCAAAAATAGAAAAAAAAACTTAATTTCCTAAAAAGTTTAAATTAGCATGCAAATTTGTTAAGCGCCAAAAAACTAACACAGGAACGATTTCTGAATTGAAATTAATGCACTTTTGGCTTAGGTATGAGTTTTTTAAGATTTGATTTTTTGAAATAATTTAATACAATTGCAAACTTTGGCTTCCCGAAATTAGTTTCCTTGTTGTCAACTTTGAAATCTTTTTAAGAAAGTGCCTTAGAGGAACCATTGATTTAGTTTGAAGAGTAAGACTGGACAGAGTTTATTTATTTATATAATTTGAATTTAATTTTAAATAAATACCAGGGAGAGATCCTCTGCACTTCAATCCATGGCCCAAACTCAAGGGTAAATAAATCTTGGCTATTTTGGTCTTTATTGGTTTTACCTTCACATAACAGACAGAGATCTCTCATCTCTCTCACTTGAGTTTTTTATGCAAATGTGCACAGCAAAAAAACAGCAATGGAATATTAAATTGATTTAATGAAATAGTTGTGGGTTCAAAGATATATATTTTAAGAAATTATTTAATATATAAAGAAGGTAAAAAGTGCTAGTTGTGCAATTAAAAATCAAAGAAGCTAGTCATGATGGTATTTTTTCAACTTTAATCCATGGTTTTTTAGGTCTAATGGAATCTCTCGATAATATTTGGTGAAATTGCATTGAAATCTTGAACAAACTGCTTAAGATGTAACCCACATTTGTGTCTTTTATTTGTCACCTCATGCGTGCAGTGCTCCCTAAGACTGAGATTGTGCAATCAACGCGGCACTAAAGTGATTCCGTTGATCGTCTTCTCAATTGACACAATCACGGCAAACTAACACCCCCTCAGACACATACAAAATAAATTTAAAAAAAGGAGAAATAACAACACAACACAACACACATTTGTTAAAAGCAAAACGCAAGTCGAGCGCTAAGTAAATTAGTTAATGTCTCGCGCCGCCGCTTGGCAATTAGTTAATGGAGGGGGCCCACGGGGCGTATACTTACCATGAGCGGTGTGGCACTTGAGCAGCACGAAGAGGAGGCAGCAGGCAATTAGCATTGTTGCTATATATTGCTATATATAGTACTTAAGTTGTTCTATGTCAGATATATACACTCTATATCTCTTTGATACACACTCTGTTGGTGTATTTCACTCGCTGTCTGTGGACATTGCTCGTTGCAGATGTGTTATGCGTCTCTTTCGCTTTGGTAATAGCAAAAAAAAAAAAAAAAAAAACTATATATACAATAAACAAATTCACTTTCACTTATTTGTGAACCTGCCGGGGCGACAACCAAAGCCAAACCAAAGCTGAAGCCAAAGCAAAGCTGGTTGTGCCTGTGACTGTGACTGTGCCTCTGCCTTTTTGGAGTCGCGGCTATGACTATAACTATGACTGCAGGTCCAAGAGGCTCTCTGACTCACTGACTGAGTTTAGCCAAAAAGGCAGACGACGGACAACCAATTACGAACTGGCGACACTGCTCGAGTCTCCGGATCTGGAATCTCCCTGCAATCTTTGCAAATCCTCACTCTGGAATCTCCGATCCGATCTTCGGGTCTCTCGGATCTTGGCCTCAAGTGTCTCGGCTTTCTCCGAGAAGGGAGAGAGCTCTGCGGCTCCGTCTCCAGCTCCAATTTTGCGACAAGCGGCACTGACTGATTGATGGCCTGATTGATGGCTTGGCGATCAGTCGTCTGCAATCAGAAGAGACAAAGTCATATTTAAACGGTTGCGATTTTTGACACTGGAGGAAAATAATGATACAAAAGAATATATATCTTAAAGTTTGTATGCTTAAATTAATTACAAGAGACTTTAAAATGTATAAATATGTTTTAAGTACAAAATAAATATAGGTGAGAGCATAAATATTAACAATAAAACAATAGAAACAGATTGAAATTCGATTAACAATATGAATTATATATATTCATGTTAAAAAACAATAAAGTAATGCCTGCTTTCATTTCACTCCTCTATTTTTAACGATCGTTTGCATGTCAACTATATGATATAGTAGTCCGATTTTCATAAAATTTTACACAAAATTCTAGATTAATATAGAATGTCTATATATTAAATTTGATGAAAATTAGTTGAAAACTGAAAAAGTTATAATATGTTATTCTTAAAATTTTCCTATTGTTCCTATATCAGCTATATATATATGTATATATATAGTCTACCGATTCACCATGCTTCGACTTATATACTAGTAAAATTTAATAGAAGAAGAATCCAATAGTTTCATTGAAATAGCTTAAATTTGTTGCAAAACAAATCTCACACATCTGTACTTATGATTCCCAACTTGTTCTGTCATCCCCGGAACGAAGTGGCTTCTACCAGCCAGGTCTCAGATATGTGTTGTGTTGCAAAGTTGCAAGTCATTGTTTATTAGTGTTCAAATTAAGTAGGTGATCATACATACATACTAACTGATCATAGATAATTCATGTTCTGAGTTACTTACTATTCATAGTTATCTACTGATCAGAGTTAATTACTGATCATAGTTACTCAATTCATTGATACTTACTGATCATAGTTATTCAGGGTTCAGAGTTACTTAGTGCTCAGAGTTACTTACGCACATCTGAACTTATGATTCCCAACTTGTTCTAACATCCCCGGAACGAAGTGACTGCTGTCAGCCAAGTATCAGACATGTGTTGTGTTACAAAAGTTGCAAGTCATTGTTTACAAGTGTTCAAAGTCAGTAACTGATCATACATTCATACTGGTACTTAATGATCATAGTTACTCACTGCTCTTAGTTAATTACTGGTCATACATACTTAGTGATCAAAGTTAATTACTGCTCATAGTTACTTAGTGTTTATTGATATTTACTGATTATAGTTATTTACTGCTCATTGCTATCTACTAATCAAAGTTACTTAATGTTCAACAACGAATCTCTTAAAATGGTTAAACAATGGTACTCTTTAAGTAAGTAATAACAATAAATTTATTTCATACGTTTTTTAAGCATTCCCGCATATATTCAAAATTCAATAGATTTTGAGCTTTAGATAAAAGATTCCTCTCTCTCTCTCTGTTTTTTCGCCAAGTGTAGCCGTGTGGCAGTTGTATAATAGGCCGGTTGCAAATGGCAACCCGAACAGGATGTTGCGCATGTGCGTCTGCCGGCGGACTAGTCATGACTTGCAGCTCGTTTCTTGCATCTTGTGCATCAGATGAACATTGGTGTATTTTTGCGGCATTTAGTCCATTGACCTTACACTTGACTGCGAAGAGCATTCTGGCCACTAAAAATCCAGCCCGACCACTTTTTCGGCCGCCTCGCATTTGGGTCAACAGGCAGAGACAAAGCCAAGAGCGGAGCCATCGAGCCGTTTGTTGACATTTCTTGTATTTATACATATATATTTTTTGTTTTGGCCAATTTGCAAGTGGCAACGGAGCCACCAAAAGAGGTGTGACTCAGGTGAAGATGTGACAAACGAAAGTGAAAACCTACAAACAAAAAAACTGAAAAAACTGAAACTGAAACTGGAACTGTAACTCGAAATGGAAGCTGAAGAGATGTTTCCACTATTGATTAACAATGCCTTTGGTGGTTCAATCAACATCATTTCACTTTCGTTGGCGGCGTGTAGCCGTGATCTACGTGATCCACCAATTAGCGCCTCCCTCCCCCTAAGACATTAGCGGATTGTGCAACACATATACAAAGATACAAAGATACATTAGCTGACATGGATAAACTAACGATGGATTTTGTCATCGGTTGCACTTAACACTTTCTGGATAGACATAAAGTTTCCTTGACTGTTTTAAATGGGAAATTAAATTAGGAAGCTTTACTAACAATATTCATTAATATCTTCTTATTATTGCTTAGTTATCAAAAAGACTTTGAAAGTCTCGATAATAAAAGATTTGGGTATGGATTTATATAATTATATTTAATGCTGTAAAGCATCCTTCCTACATCTAAAAATGAGTTCTCTTACATTTCAAGTGTTATGTCTTCTTTATAAGCAGTTTTTGTAACAAGTTACTTTGAGTTTTCTTGATATTTTCTAGCTAATGACTTCCTTAAACTAATTGCTCATCCCCCTAATTAACCACCTTATATAGTAGGTACATATTAAAAGCAATCTCTATCGAGCTGGCACATCGTGTGAACATCTAATGGACTTTAGCTTTACCTGTGATGGAAAGCGAAATTAAAAAGTGCGAGTACCGTTAAAGAATGAAGAAATGAAGACAGGTTGACGTGCCGGTGATGATGTCGCTAAAGAAAGCCAAAAAAAGACAAGTCAAGATGCGGACCTTTAGAGACGTCAGCATCATCATCTGGCTCCCAAGCTAAACAAAAAGCGCCATCAAAATGGAAAGTAAAGCACTAAATAATGCTTCTTGGGTGACTTTCGCATGGGATCTATGTATCAGATGCTTTCTATATGTACATATATATATATGCTGCGGTCAGAGCTTCTACTTTCAAATAGATTAACCCAATTTTGAGACTCTGAGGCGGCTTTCCGTTGCTCATTTTCGCATTTGGCGGCTAATTCAGCTCATTACGAAAAACGAGGGACTGTAAAATATGAATTCTCAACAATATATAGTAATAAATAAAAGAAAAAACTAAAGAAAACCCCATGTAAAATGCTGAGGTGCGCCGAACAGGCACTTATATAATTTAGAGAAATAGATCCGACAAGAGCCCAACACCTCAGGCCACCCCAGCTACTGAAAACCCTTCGGAAAATGTTCTATTTAAGTTACTGATTTCCCTAGAAAAGCTCTGCTCCATCTTACTAGTTTTACATTACATTATTATGTTTACTTGATAAAAATATATATTATTTTATACCCTTGCAAGGGTGTTATAATTTCAGTTAGAAGCTTGCAATTCAGTGAAGAAGACATTTCCGACCTTATAAATCATATATATTTTTGATCAGCATCAACGGGAGATTCTTTCTACAACTGTTCGGTAGAAAAATAAATTTTCGAAAATTTTTCAAAATATAAGGGGTTATATCGTAAAACTTGTCAAAAAATTAAAAAAAAAAAATAAGTTTGTTAAATTTTAAATCTCAATATGCAGATTTGTTAAGCCTATAAAAACTAGCACAGAAAAGTTTTCCGAATTGTATTTAATGCTATTTTGACTTAGTTATGATATTTGAAAGACTATGATTTACCCAAAAAATATTGCATTTAAAAATATTGATTTTATAAACCTAAAATAAACATATTTTAAAATTATTGTGAGTATGCGAAGGCTAAAGCTAATGACTGCCAAAATATATATATGCTTCTGTACCCCAAGTTTTTAAAGATTTATTTGTCAACAATTAATAAAGGGTTTCGTTTTTTAAATATTTAAACCCGATATACTAATATCCTAATAAAAATTTGGCATATATATATAAAAATAATTCATAAAAATAATTTAAACAAACTTGTATAAAAATAATAATTTAATTCATTTTAATTTTAATTCATTTAATTAAGATTCCTTTTCCATTTCCATTTCCTTTTAATAAAATAAAACAAGATGCAGAGCAACAAAAACAACAAATGACTCATGTATCTCCCATAGGAACGATCTGAAAATGATTAGAAAACGAAATGGATAGGATCGGACGACTATATAATATAGCTTTCATAGGAACGATCGGAAAATGTTTAGAAATAAATTCAAACTCCTTCAGTTTTAAAGATATTTTCATCTAATTAGAGAAATAGCCATTTTATAATATTTCAGAATTTTAGCTTTAATTTTATCAAAATCAGACGACTATATCATATAGCTGCTATAGGAACGATCCTTAAATGTAAAGGAAATTGCAAAACTCCCCCTCTCCCTCTCCCTCTCACTCTCTTAATGCACCGTGCAACGTGTTTGTTATGTCTGTGCAGCTCAAGAGGCAGCCCTTACTCTCTATCTCTCTCTGTCTTTCTCCAGAGATAGCGCTTACGCTCTCGCTCACTCATTCTCTGTTCTCTTCCCTCGGGGACTATAAATACAGGGCGCTACCGGCCCTCGGGCCTCATTCGGTGCGCGGAGTGGCTGCTGGCAACATCTATGGTGAAAGTGGAAGTGATCGTGATAATGTCACCCGCATCTGGATAAACAGGAAGAAGCTCTACACCGGATGCAAGTAAACAATGACGTGTTCTTTACTATTCACTGGATGGATGTAAACAATGACGTGTAATTAACTCTTCACCGGATGGACGTAAACAATGACTTGTAGTTAATAAGCCTTAACTAAAGTGGGAGTGATAGTGATTGGCCTTCGACCCAAATAATATCACCTGCACCCAACGCAATGGATCTGGTTAAACAGGAAGAAGCTCTACGCACTGGATGGATGTAAACAATGACGTGTCCTCAATTCCGGTAAGTCTTAACCATGACTATTATATCTTGTTTATAGATGCTTTAAGAGTGATCAGGTCTAAGTCTAGAGTCAGTTATGCCAGCTATGCATGCATTCATTAATTCATTAACATTGCCCTTCTTAATTATACTCTTCAAGGGTATTACAATTTTAATCAAAAGCTTGCTACGCATTGAAGGAATCATTTCCGACCCTATAAATCATATATATTCTTGATCAGCATTCATAGGCGAATCGATCTAGACACCTCAGGCAGTAAAAAATATTTTACAAATTTTTTTCAAAATTTTATAAGGGCTTTATCG